TAGTAGCTAACGCCTTACTAGAGGAAATCATACCCAGGTACGGGGTGCCCGAAGCAATTGGGTCAGATAACGGTCCAGCTTTCGTTAGTAAAGTCCTGCAGGGACTAGCCCAGGCTATGGGGGCCAATTGGAAGTTACATTGTGAATACAACCCCCAGAGCTCAGGGCAAGTGGAAAGGATGAATAGGACACTAAAGGAGACTTTAGCCAAATTGGCCCTGGAGACTGGCGGTGATTGGGTGACACTCCTTCCCTTAGCCATCTTCCGGGTCCGGAACTCCCCTTATGTCCATGGGCTAACCCCCTTTGAAATCCTGTATGGGGCTCCACCCCCCATCATTCAAAGGACCTTAAGCCCGAGACTAGGTGATCTGGCCCCACATTATCTGATTATGCTACAGGCTCTAGTTAAAGTACAGTGACAAATATGGCCTCTAATTCAAGCGTACCATACTGCTGAGAGGACCCCGAACACGGAACATGGCATAGTCCCGGGTGATACGGTATGGGTTAAAAGGCATCAGTCCAAAACCCTAGAGCCTAGATGGAAAGGACCTTATGTTGTACTGTTTACTACCCCTACCGCCCTCAAGGTTGACGGCATCGGACCTTGGATCCATTACTCCCACGTGCGTCAAGCCAATCATCAAAAACAAGAAGGGCTAAAGAGTGGACTGTACGGCGGCACCCAGAAAACCCGTTAAAGCTGAAGCTCTTGCGGCCCCAAAAACATGCAGAGTCTTCAGGAGCCATCACGGATGAATTGGATGATCTTCCTGATCCTGCTCATTGCCGAGAGCAGGAGCTTTGCCGAAACCAACCCTCACCAGCCTTATAAACAAACCTGGATACTCACTGATGGGGAGACACATACCACCCTCAATGAGACTACTTACACTGCCCCATTGGGAACTTGGTGGCCGGAACTACAATTCTGCTTCAGAGACATCAATCCTGCCTACAGGGCCACTGCCCCGGACTCAGCTCGACGCTATGGTTTTTATGCTTGCCCGGGCCACAAAAAGAGCAAAGACTGCGGGGGGATACAATACTCTTTCTGTAAGTCGTGGGCATGTGTCACATCCAACGATGGTGAATGGAAATGGGGAGTATCAAAACCAGACCTGCTCACATTTGCATTTGTAAATGGGGCACCGGGGGGAACACCATGGGGAAGCAGATGGGGGGGGGGGCTAAGCCTTCCGATTTTCAACCGCGGTTGCTGGCCCACAGATCTAGATAGAATCAAGGTCACTTTCACTGAAGCTGGCAAAAAGGACACCTCAGGATGGATGCAAGGAAGGATATGGGGAATTGTATTTTATAAATATGGTAGACACGCTGGCTCGACCATAGTAGTCAGATTGAAAATTGAGCCCACGGGGCCACTGTCCACAGTAGTAGGCCCTAATAAGGTACTTAGGCCGCCCTATGTAAAGCCACCTCCCCGACCTTCCACAACTCACCACCTTCCCTCAACCTTAGCCCAGGCTAATGTCACAACTCCAAGACCATCAGGAACCAGCCCTCCCCTGGTGAGGCCCAGTCTCATGACCAGGTCCAAAGACCCCCTCTGGGACCTGGTAGATGCTGCATTCCTGACGTTAAACTACACCAACCCTAGCATGACTACCTCCTGCTGGCTGTGCTATAATGTGAGGCCCCCATTCTATGAGGCAATAGGGCTAAATGTCACCTATAATAGCTCAACTAGTGAAAACCCCACCCAATGTTCCTGGGGAAACCGTAAAAGAGGTCTGACCATACAACAGGTAAGTGGCCAAGGAACCTGCTTAGGAAAGGTGCCAAGGGGTAGACAAGACTTATGTACTGTTATTAAAGCCAATCAAACCTGGGGCAGCACTATTAACTGGATAGTTCCAAAGGACGAGGGGTGGTGGCTATGCTCACGGTCCGGACTCACCCCTTGCCTGTCAACTAAGGTGTTTAACAGCTCTAAAGAATTCTGTGTCATAGTGGCTGTGCTGCCCCGCATCCTCTATCATTCGGAGGAGAGTCTATATTCATACTGGAATACAAAAATGGTTGAAAAAAGAAAAAAGAGAGAACCTCTTTCCACACTAACTATTGCTACCCTACTCAGCCGAGGGTTAGTGGGGGCAGGAACCGGCATAGCCTCCTTGGCCACCCAGCATAAAGGGATGTCTTCGCTGCGCGCAGCCATAGATGAAGATATAGAGAGAATAGAAACCTCCATTAGCCACCTAGAAAAATCCCTTACTTCTCTGTCTGAGGAAGTACTTCAAAACCGACGAGGTCTGGACTTGTTGTTCCTCCAAAAGGGGGGACTATGTGTTGCTCTAGGGGAAGAATGTTGTTTTTACGCCGACCATACCGGAGTTGTTCGTGACTCCATGTCTAAACTTCAAAAAAGCCTAGAACAAAGAAGACGAGAAAAAGAGGCCGGGGAAAGCTGGTTCGAGTCTTGGTTTAACCAGTCCCCATGGTTAGCTACCCTCCTATCTACACTGGCAGGGCCAATAATAATCCTCCTATTACTTGTTACCATAGGACCCTGGATTCTAAACCGACTTATGACCTTTGTCAAAAGTCGAATTAATACTATCCAACTTCTGGTCCTCCGCCAACAATATCAGGCTCTTCATCCCCTTGAGAATGATTCCTCAATTTAGGCCATAAGAAAAGGGGGGAATGAAAGGAATAGGATGTCTCAGCGGACCCCCACCCCCCTGTTGGAAAAACCAGTACCAAATGCCCCCTGTAGATAAGATAAGCAGAGCAGCAGGGCTCGGCTCGGGCATATAGAATGTGAGGAATGTGAGCAGGTTGCGAAAGATGACGGGATGTACGTGCAAGATGTGCTCTGCCTGCTTGCTCAATGTTGATAACGTAAATATGCGCGCAAATGCTGACCTTTTACTCTATAGGCTAGGAAGTACACGTACTCTTAAATGGATAGGCTGGAAATGTATGTGGTGTTACAAAATCATTGGCTATGTGCCGCGTGGGCTTTTGCTGTAACAGCAGGTAGTGGTCTATATAAGATCTCCCCTAAAGAGGCTCAGGGTCGTGTTTTCCTAACCGGTCCTGCGTGTCCATGTGGGAGCTCGACCCTGGCTAGCCAGCCCAATAAACTCTGCTTTGTTGATTGCATTCACGCGTGGCTCTCTGTCTCTCGGGGGTCCTAACAATACCAATTTATATACCCTTGGGCAGTGTATGAGAGTTCTGACTATTCTGTATCCTCACCATACTTAGTATTCTCCTAATGATTTTTAAAACCAGTTCATTCATTCTGACCTAGAAATTCAGATGCAGTTATGACAGACAAAGACAAAATATCAAGGTCCCTTCTCTTTGAAAGTTAACATTCTTATGTGGGAAGCACAATAAATGGAAAAGTAATGTAACAGTCTTTGTATATAAGTATAAATAAATAAATACATAGTATTATATAGTAATATAATGGGACATGGTCCTGGGGGCTAGGTAACTTTTCCACTGATTATACAGTGAGGCCCCTCTGAAGGAGTTTCATAGGAGCTGAGACCTGAGCAATCCCTGCAAAAATGCAGAAAAGTGAACAGCAGCTGCCTAAGTCTGAGAGCACTAAAGACCTTGATCTGTTTGAATTTTGGAAAGCCAGGCACGGAACAGTGGAAGAGAAAGTTAGGTTCTGGTAACTGCCTTCTCAGCCCTTTGCCACATTTTTCTGGTTTCATCGAGCATGGCCCGTTGGTCTCTCAAAAAAGGAATTTAAAGTTTTTATCTTGACTTGTTTTTTAAATGTCTGCAAGTTAAAATATACTCTGCATTTAAAGGAAGTGAGAGCATGGCTTTTAATGCCCTCTGGTTTACTTGAGTATCTTCTAGGTATTGAAAGAGTCCTTCCCTATGCTAGTTTTTGTTTTGAAAAAATGAGGTTATTCTGCAAGTAAAATCAAATGTCATAGTCAAAATGACAAACTAGGCCATTTATTTTACAGTTAGATCATTCAAGAATTACAGAAGTTTTGCTGGGAGATGCTAATTTGCTATCAAGCATTCAGTGATACCCCATTTTTTTTATATGAGGAAAATTGTTGAGTACTGTAGTGTGCTTGAATCTTTTCTTTGTAGTTCAGTAGTATATTTTGCCAGACTTCATTGTGGAAAAGGCAGAAAGTTCCAAGTTTACTTGACAGTTCTGTGTTACATCATCTATTGAAAGGAACATATTGAAGGTAAGTTGGTATTAGGTATTTCCTTAAACTTTTGTTTAGATTCAAGGACTTCTATTTAATTTTTGCGAAAAGATTTATCTTTTACTTGAGCAAGTCTTTCATTTGTCTTCTCTTATCCATTTCTTTGGTCTTTGTTCATATCTACCCTGTACTTCATTAAAATTAGATTGATTTTAGTAGTGACTTTGTGAATTGCAGTCTAGATGTACATAAGGCAACCATGGTTTGTTTTTGAGGAGTCTGGGGTTTGAACTCAAGGCTTCCTGCTTTTGGGATAGGTACTATGCTTAAGCCACACCTCCAGCTCCAATCATGCATTTTTGTGAGCAGTTTATTTACTAATAATTCAATGTCTTTTTGCTATTTCTTGAAAGTTTACTATTTCAAAAGAAGAAAATTTTAGGGGTCAAATGATTCCCAAATATAATGTAGGACAGAATGCCAGTGAACAGATTGTTTAATTTGAATGTTGATAATGCTATTTTAATTCTGTTTTCAACATAGGCTGAAATTATTGGTCTCCCTATCAAGTAATTCAGAGTAATTTTTTCAGCTGGATTTTTTTTTTAAACCCCAGTTTTGCCATATTTTAGCTTCATAAGAAAAGTAGGAGATTCAGAGGGAAGACTTAGTGTTTTTTATGTTACTTACATTTAAGATAATGGATTGGAATTGTTAGGACTAACAGATTGCAGTGTTCAAATCCTTTGTAAAAAGGACTTTCAGTCATATTCCTGTTTTTGTCACTAAAAATGTCTTTTTCTCCATGTGCTGTAATTGAATCTATTCTCATGAAACAAGTGAGTATCCAGCTACTCACTACTAATGTGTGGACCTGCCAGGTGCAAAGAAAAATACCCCTTCAATTGTCAGAGCAGTACAGGTTAGTCACATGTTTTTTTTTTTTCCTTTTTTTTTGGTGGGACTAGGATTTGAGCTCAGGGCTTCGCACTTGCAAAGCAGGCATCCTACCTCTTGAACCACATCCCCAGGCCATTTTCTGTGGTTATTTTGGAGATGGGGGTCTCAAATTTTCCCCAGCTGGCTTTGAACTGTGATCTTCCTGGTCTCCCAAGTAGCTAGATTTACAGAAAGTTGCCATGGGCTCATGGTAGTTTTATTTTTTTTTCCCTGTGAGAGGAATGACAGTTGATAAAACCCATGGACATTCCCCCAAATGCTGCTTGCATGCTTTTGTCTCCATCCTTTGGAACTCCTAATTTCAGTACATCTTATCAGTGTCTACTAATTGTTCAGTATTTAACTCAGTAATTCCCATTAAGAAGCCATACTGCCGAGTGTCTCAAGATCATCTGCCTATCAAGCATGAGGCTCTGAGTTCAAACCCCAGTGCTGCCAAAAAAAAGGGACTCTGAGCTTTTTATAGGTTCTTTTTTTTTATACGCTGCTTGGGTCATTTCTCCCCCCTGCCCCCTTTATAGGTTCTTATTGGTTTAATACCTGACAGAGAACAATGTATTAAGTAGATTTTTGGAGCAGGGAGATGGAATAGGAGCTTTCTCTGTCCACTCTACTCATCAACCTGGTGCCTCCAGGAATGGTGCACAACTTTGGGGCCTTAAAAATGCTTGTAAAGCTGAGCTCCACTGGCTCATGCCTATAATCCTAGCTACTCAGGAGGCAGAGATCAGGATGATCCGGTCTGAAGCTAGCCCCAGGCAAATAGTTCCTGAGCCCCTATCTCAAAAACCCATCACCAAAAAGGACTGGCGAAATTGCTCAAGTTGTAGAACACCTGCCTAGCAAGCGTGAGTTCAAATCCCAATGCTGCCAAAAAAACCAAAAAACAAAAAAGCCCTTCCTTATTTAACAGCCATGGACTTTGTTCTCTAACTTCCAATGATTCTGCTAAGATGTTTGTATTATTAGTTGTCCTTTACTGCATTTGTATTTTACTCCTATCTGTATTAAAACTGATGTGATGACATCTCACTTTGTCAAATGTTCACATCTATTGTGCCTTGTTCCTAGTAAGTACTTCTAAGCATTTATAGTTTATTTTCTTATGTATTGACCTTCTTGTTTCCCTAGGTGAGATGAAATAAGGCATAGTACAGGATGTACATAGATGATACTGAATTGCCTGTGTTCAGTCTTCATCAAGCTTGACTTTTTTTCTCAAGGAAAATATCACCTGAGTTTCAAATGTATGAGAGTGAGGAAGAGTAGGAAACAAAAGGCTGAACAGGAAGAGACTGACTGTGTCCTATAATCCATTAGAGCATTGCCAGAGAAACTGAGTGAGGACTTTTTTCACAGGAGCCATGGTATCCTACCCCACAAGGCAAAAGACCAGACAAACTTACTCATGGGTTGGCAGGCCATTGCTCGACCGAAAACTTCACTATCAAACCTACAAGTGAGTGATGAGGCCCTTTGGTGGGGTTGGGAACATAGTTTCTCAAGTTAAACTATTAATAACTTATTCCAGACTGTTTTAGTTACTATGGATTGAGAACTGAAGGACAGTTAGTTCCATATACATTGATTGTGAGGAGGGGTTTATGTGTTGCATGAAGATGGTAGCATAAACAGTAGTGATGGGCTAAGTTGTGGTGGGTGAGTAAAATTTGATAGTGTACAATAACACCATATGTACTTAAAGTGAGTTCAGTGTAACTTCATGATATCAAAATGGGACATGTTGTACTATGTCCTTCCTACTTCAATTTTAATAGGAAAGCCTTTTTTTGTTCTGAATAACAAATAATAAGGCCACCAGATTAATAATTCATGCTGAAATAATTCATCTTTCAGACATTTTGTCTGCTTTTACATATAACTTGGTACATTGAAAGGAGATTTGGCTGGCAGAGAAAAACTGTTTAGGGGAATTTCTGGTTCAAGAACACTTTGTATCCAGAGGATCTAAAGGGCTTTTCCACCCTAAGAGATTTCCTAACATGTTTTTGTGTTACTTCCTAGAGAAATGTGTGTGAAAGTAAAAAGTTGTTCTACTGAGATTCACGTCAAGGTTGGACAGTTTGTGTTGATAGAAGGTGATAATGATGAAAAACCCTATGTTGCTAAATTGCTTGAGTTGTTTGAAGACGGTGAGTTTGGGGCTGGAATTAGAACCATTTCTTACTAGGAATGTTTAGGAAACGGGCGTGAGGGGAGACTGCTGTGTCCTCTGTTCACAGGTGTGTGCAGAGGGTCCAAGACTATGAAGTAGGTCACATAAGCACTAGCTGTTCCCTCTTCCATCTAGAAATTTCTTCAGTCACATAGCAGTGTTGAGTAAAATAGAATTGGAGGGCTCAACAATTTATCTTTTCCATTATTTTTAGGAGTGGATGAGAATGGCCATTAAGACAGAATTTGGGGGATAGAGAGAAAGGATGAGTTTGGGAAGAAGGGAGAAGGAAAAAAATTAGGTGATTTGTGGTAATGATAGACATGTGTTTTTTAATTTTGACCTGATGAAGTTAGTAATAAATTTTGCAAGTGTAATTTCTTTACAAGGGAGGATATAAATTGGATTAGGAAGGTATATCAGTTGGTGTTCAGTCAGGAAAACAAAAACACTTTTGGTGTTTTACCCAAAGGGATTATAGATAGGGTTAAAAAAGCTAAAAGAACCAGGCATGGCAGGGCATGCCTGTAATCCTAACATTCAGGAGCCAAGTAATGAGGATCAGGGTTTAATGCCAGCATGGGTTACATAGTAAGACCCTGTCAAAAAGAAAAAAGAAAGCCTCTGACTGGAAGAATAGGTGATATTTCCTAGAGATCAGTAAGTGCTAGGCCAGAGCAACCAAAGGGAGTGTCTCTGCCCAGAGCTCACAAGCTCCTACTACCCACAGCCTCTCCTAATGTGCTGAGCACTGGGACGCTCCATAGCCCTTTGCAAAACAAGAGAGCACTCAGGAATTTGGAATGGGGCAGAGCTCCAAGGGAAGAATTAAGAAGAAAGAGAGCAATTAGAAACAACACAAAACTGCCTCCCCTGAGGGACATAGGAGAGGAATGTCATAAGTTAGATAGTCTTATGGCAGTTCCTATGTCTAAGAGGAGGGACTGGCTAGAGTGAGTAAATAAAGATGTTTTATGACACACAGATAGGAGGGACATTTGACAACTATGGAGAGTAACCTCATCCACTAGGTGGAGGACAACAGCAGATATATGGGGCTTTGTTTATGGATTTAAGAGGCCTTGTGCAGTTCTCCATTGGATGGCTTTGGTTCCTCTTTGGAGAGTTAAGAAATGAAGATGGTGATAATGGTACTGTTGAGTGTGTCCTTCACTTGGACTTAATGCTGGTGTAAAGTGACGGTGTATTATAAAAATAAAACTGAAGATTGCAAGCCTGTATTTGCCAGATTGCTGCTTGAGTTTTTGCTAGTATTTTTTTACCTACTGTTTGATGCCTTCTTTATAATCATTAACTTGCAAAACTTCTTTACTGATGATTTAAATGCTGTGATTGGAATAAATCGCTTTTGAATTCCTTCCTACATTGATTTCTCCATCATTAGAGAGAGGAACATGTGAAGAGGGTGGTTGTGGGGTGGAGTCAGATTGCTGCTGCTTGATCCTCACCTTTGACAAATTATTTAAGATCTTTGAAACTTGATATTTTTGATGTTACAAGTAGGGAGCCATACTACCTGCCTTTTAAAGTTATTATGAGGTTTAAAGAATAATACATACTGAAGACTTACCACTGTGTCTAGTGCACAGGAAATGCTCAGTAAAATGCACTTGCATTTTATTTAACCTTCCTCTTATCCTTCTAGATTCTAAACCTCATTTCAAGAAGCGTGCTCGAGTACAGTGGTTTGTTCGATTCTGTGAAGTCCCTATCTCTAAACAGCATTTGTTGGGCCGAAAGCCTGCTGCACAGGAGATATTCTGGTATGACTACCCTGCCTGCAATAGCAACATTAGTGCCGAAACCATCATTGGTCCTGTCAGGGTAGGTGGTGACTTTTTCCTAGGTTCTGTTTCGAAACTGACTTCTACCCGCCTCCTAAATTGCATGGCTTAGAAATATTACTGCTTCTAATTTGCCCCATTGGGAATGAATTTTTTTTTCTATTATCTTCTCTGCTTGTTTGCCTCCCTCATCTCAACAAATATTTATTGAGAACACTTAGCATGTGTTGGAAGCCTCCTAGAGGAGGTGACATTGGATTATGACTTGAGGGATAAGCAGGAATAAGCGGTGGGAAATGATATTTAGCTGTGACTGTGGCAGGCATAAAATGTTGTGAGATCGAATACGCTTTGTGAAATGAGGACTTCACCCTGAGTAACTCAGTACAGACTGCTAGTTGCAAATTTTGTTAGGAGATTTTATAATAATTCAGAAGCTGATGAGCTGCTAGTTTGTAGGCTGAAGCGGGACACTGATTTGGAGACTAAATACACAGTTTATTCCTGGAAATGCTCAGGCCCCTAAAGGGGGATTAGATTGTAATGGGAAATTTGACCGTATGGTGATTAAGTGTTGGTTTAAGAGTTTGGGAGACTTTGGACAAAGGTAAGGAAGATTTAGAAGTTGAAGCAGCAGGCTGTATAGATTTGAAAGAACAAAGGGAAAGGCGATGTGTAGGCAGAGCACATTGGTGGAAATGAGCAGTATTGTCCGAAAGTGGTGCAAGGCCACTTGTGGAACACTGAGCCGAGGTAGAGTCAGATTTTAGAATGCATTGAAAAGTTAGTTTATGACATCTCACTATTAACTGTGGAGCAGAGGAGCATGTTTAGAGAAGTTTTTGTGGGAAAATTTGGCCTTGGTAAATAGAATAGACTGGAAAAGAAAGCAACATAGGGTGTGGCTATCAGCTAGGGAATGTCTAGAAATAATCTGGGAGTGAGATGATAGGTACTTGAACAAAGATGATAGTAGGAATTAAGAGGTGAAGCCAGTAAGCATTTTTAAAAAAATGAAATGAAAGGAATAATTTACTCTATATTTCATTGACATCCTTCAAAGTTATTAGTGATCAAGTGAGTAAATACTCAGTTTCTTTATCAGTATGCCTCTTTTTATATGAAAGGTGACATTCCATATACTTAAATGGGTTTTAATCATAGCTGTGATGTGTCTTCCTTGGCTCATTAGTCTTCATCTTCCTATTCATCTATATTTCCTAAGTACAGGTAGTGGCTTTAGCCCCAGAAGAAGTGTTCCCTGTGGATCTGAAACATGAGGAGACATTGTTTGTGAAACTATCCTGGAATGAAAAGAAGTTCAAACCACTGTCTCCAGAACTATTTGCAGAATTGCAGAAACTACAAAAAGGCAGCCCCAAGTACCAGAAACCCGTGGAAGCCAAGACTATGAAAGTAGAAAGTCCTTCTTTGACCACAGCAAAACATGTGGTTAAAAGGATTGAATCAAGTCACTCTGCTTCCAAATCTCACCAAACGCCTGCCCACCCTGTCACCCCCAATGCCAGGAAAAGGCTGGAGCTTGGTGGTAAGTTATGGAATAGGTTGCAGTGGACAATACTGGAGCTAAAGGAATACAGTATTGAGTTAGTGCAGCAATAGGCTAAGTATTGATTGGATGCATGTTTAAATGCATCACATGAGTTTTATCATTTTTTATCTTATTTATTTTGGTGGTACTAAAGTTTGAGCTCAAGGCTTTGTATTTGCAAGGCAGGCACTCTACCACTGGAGCCATATCCCCAATCCATTTTGCTTTTGCTATTTTTCAGATAGGGTCTTAATTTTTGCCCAAGTCATCCTGGACCATGATCCTCCTACCTATGGCCTCTGGCAGGCATGGCTGGGATAGTAGGCACATGCTACCACACCAGGTATTTTATTGAGATTGGGGTCTTGCTAACTTTTTCCTCTTGATTTCTGCCTGGCAAGTAGCTGAGAGTATAGGCATGAGCCATTGTGCCTGCCAAATTTTATCTTCTTAAGATGGCATTAAGAACACGCATGCACATTGTTGTGGAACTCTGGATCCCTTAAGCCATAAATCTCTCCCTTCCCCCATTCTTCAGTTCCTGGAAACCACCATTTCTTTTACATCTTCATGAATTTGACTACTCTAGGCAGTCCCTGTGAATGGAATCATAGAGCATTTGTCCTTCTGGTTTACTTCACTTGCCATAATACTCTCAAGGCTCATCTATGTTGTAGCATGTGTCAGAATTTCCTTCTTTTTAAGGCTGAATAATATTCCACTGTATGTATATGGAACATTTTGCTTATCCATTCACCTGTCTATGGATACTTTACCTTATTGCAACGATGCTCTCGTGAACATGGGAATAACAAATGTTTCTTGGAGATCTTTCTTGCGGTTCTTCGGGATATGTGCCCAGAAATAGGATTGCTGGATCCTATGATAATTCTATTTTTCATTTTTTTAACTCCCTTTTTGGGGGTGGTGATACTGGGGTTTGAACTTGACACCTCACTCTTTCTATGCAGGCACTCTACCACTTGAGCCACACCCTCTGTCCTCTTTTTCATTTTTAGAGAACTGCCATACTGCTTCCCATAGTGGCTGTGTCATTTTCCCAACAGCCATGTGCTAGGATTCCAGTTTCTCTATGTCCTTATCAATGTTTATAATTTTTTAATAGTAGCCATTGTAATTCATAAGAAGTGGTAGCTCATTGTGGTGAGGTGGTTTTCTTTTTTGAAAAAATTAAAATTATTTTAAATTCATAAATCATATTAATGGACTAAAATGTGATTTTTAAAATTACATACAATATGAATGATTAATCAAGCTAATTGACATTTCTTATCACCTCATTCGTTTGCTCTTAATTACTTTGAAATATACGTTGACTATAGTTATTGCCATGCAGTAGATCTCAAGTATTATTCCTCTGTCTAGCTGGAACTTTGAGAACTCCCCATTCCACTACTCCTCATATCCCCTAACTGTTGATACCCATGATTCTATATTCTGCCTCTGTGAGCACACACACAAGTGAGAAGATGTGTCTTCTGTGCCTGGCTTATTTATTTCATTTAGCGCATTGACCTCTAGATTCATCCATGTTGTCTCAGCATTGTGGTTTTGATGCACAGTTCCCTAGAGATTAGTGATTGAGCCCTGGAAATAGCTGTTTCTTAAAGTAACATTGCTTCTGGAGCCTCAGTGGAAAAGCTAGGAAACAACCATTTAAAACTCTTATTCATACTGATATTTCTTACCTGAACCACAGAGTCCTTTCCATATTCCACAATTATATCTCTGTTCTACTTCAGGAAGAATCCTTATTCCCAGCAGCAATCCTGATAGATAAAAAGTAATCCTACAATTGCTATGCCAGCCTTTATCAGTAATAAACTCACCAACTAAAGTTCAAAATTTATTTGTGGTTCTTTATCCCTTTAAAATATGTTCCACAAAGTGAAAGAAGTTACTTTGATGAATATTCTTTGTTTTGAAAATCATTATTGGTGATATAGTTTGTTTCTTTCATTTCTGTTTGTATTTAATTTTAGGGATTTTTTTCACCCCATCGTTTTAGTATTTTAAACAGATGAAACATTAACTTTAAGATTAGTGTCAGAGCTATTTAAAACACTGTACTCAGAGAAGCTTTACCTCCTTAGAGGCCTTCCATAGGTAAATTATTACTTTTATACGATTTATCAGGGGACATATGTATATACGTACATGTATACCTGAATATGAACATGCATTTGTTTTTATTTTTCATTCTTAGTTAACCAGTAGGATACTACACTAACCCAGTAGGATAGATGCATTCTTTTCTGACTTGCTTTTTGTCCTCACAGTGAATCTGACAGTTTATGTATGCCTGTTGTGAGAGCTCAGCCCCACCCTATTATATTTGATTAATCCTTTGAATTTTTGTGTATGTGCCAAGTTCTTCAGGTTCAAATTGTTTGTGCTCTTGATAGCTCCTTAATGCAGTATGTGTTTTACAAGCTGAATAAAAATATATAAAATACTTGAAAAATGGAGAACTATTAAATCATAATACCACCTTCAGAAATTCCTGCAGTATTTTATGACTACTGATTACTGCAGGATTTTGAAAGATGGGGCAAGAAATTTAGACTTGATATGGTTACATAGTAGAAGGAGGATATTGTGAATCTTTTGAATGAATTATTTTGACAGAAAGGTAGGAAATGATTGAGGTATGAGGGAGGCCAGGATGTTGGGATGTGTTTATATTTATCTAGACATAAGTTATCCTCCTGCCTACCAAAAAATTGAATAATTTTAGTTTCATGTTAAAAGACATTAAGATCTAATCTTATATAACATTTTAGAGTCAGGCTTATTGAGGTATAATTTATATACTATAAAATTACCCTTTCTATATACAGGTTAAATACCTTTACCTGAAATGCTTTGAATCAAAAGTGATTTTTTGGACTTTAGAGTATTTGCATATGCATGATGAGACATTTTGAGGACAAGACCAAATCCAAACACAAAATTTACTTATGTTTCATATACACCTCATTCATCTAGCCTGAAGATAATTTTATATAATTGTAGTATGCCTGTATTTTGCCTACAACCTGGTAATTTCATGTCAGTACTCAAAAAATTTCAGAATTTGTAGCATTTTTGTATTTTTAGTTTTCAGATGGGAGATGCTCAACCTATAGTTCCGAGTCTTAACAAATGCATTAGATTTGTGTAATTACCATTATAACAAAGATGTAGAATGTGTTCTCTCCAAAATGTGTTCGTGCCCCCTCATAATCAACCAGTCTTTCCCTCTCTTGGCTCCTGGTTCCCAAGGATGTGTTTGTGGTCTCTTTGTCTTTTCTAGAATGCCAAATAATGGGCTGGAGGTATGGCTCAATGGTTTGAGTGCCTGCCTAGAATGCCAAATAGCTGAAATCACAGTCTATGGCCTTTTGAGTCTGATTCCTTTCACCTACCATCATAGATTTGAAGTCATCCATGTTGTCAAATGTTGTAATTTGTTCCGTTTTTATTGTGGAGTAATACTCCATTGTATGGATTTACCACAGTTTACCCATTCCCAGTATAAGGACATCTGGGCTGTTTCTAGTTTTGGATGATTGTGAATAAAGCCACCAAAGTGGTAGCTTTTCGGGCCCTGCCTGCTCTTGTCCTACACACCTTGTGCATGATTCAGTAGATCTTCCTTGTGGTCAGTTTTCCTGACTTATTGCCATTTTTTCTATGTTCTCCTCACATGTCCCCTCTCCTTTCTTTTTCACCTCTGTTTTACTTTCTCTCAAGGCCTATCTCAAAAGCTGTTTTTATTAGTCTTAGGTGCTTTGGAGGACTTACTTTGCCTCATATTGTAGATGTTTGTGCTTGTCATTTCCTCAGTTAGAGCAAAGTAGTTTTTGAATGAGGGTCAGGGTTGAGTCTCATTCAACTTTTTTTTTATTCTAGTACTTTAGTACTTGGTACATGCTGTTCTTTTTTCTTTTTCTTTCTTTTCTTTTGTGGTAATCATGTTTGAACTCAGGGCCTTGAGGTGCTCTATCACATGAGCCATGCCATGATCCCTTTTTTGCTTTTAGGGTTTTTCAAATAGGCACTTAGGCTTTTTGCCTCACTGGCCTCAAACCATGATCCTCCCAATTTCTGTTCTCCCAAGGAGCTGGGATTATAGGCCTGTACCACTGTGCCAGACCCCTGCTTTGCCTTTTTAATTAAATCAACTATGCCCATGAGTTGAAATGCTGGGGTTCTTGGTGCCCATAGTCCTGGTGAAGGTAGAAAATATCCAAATGTTGTAATGATTTCCCTCTAGAATCCCTTTTCTCTCTATTGGCAAGACACAGTCTATCTGGGCCCAGTGTCACTCAGCAGAGTCACAAGCATAAATTTCTCAAATGCCATTGAATTGATGGGAGGCTGGCAGTATCATCTCTGGTTGAGAACTGTTGTTTCTGGTAGATTGCTTCAGGGAAACTCAGCTGCTGAACCTTTATTCATAAAAGCTGACTTACAGGAGCTGGGGATGCAGCTTAGTGGTAGAACACATGCTTAGCATGCTTAAGGCCTTGAATTCTATCTGCTACATCAAAAAATTAAAAAGAATAAATTTCATACAATAATAAAAGTCTCTTGAGGTTCCAAGTAGGAAAATTAATCGCTCATGAAATTTTGGAAGTCAGAAAATGATTAGAGCTGGAGGATGAAAGAATGGGATAATTTAAAATATATGTCTTCCTTATGACTTCAGTAAACAAATGTAGTTCTGATGAGAATGGGATCTCTACTGCACGGTATATTTCCACCTTGTCTGTGATGTCTCCTGTCTTAGGTTTTCCCAGGACACCTAACACTAGACTATCCCAGCAGACTTTGTGTGCCTCCTTAGATTCTTCAGAAAGGACTAAACGAAAAGCAGTGTTCCCTGAGACTACTTCACCTTCCAAGAGGGCTCAGCTGGATGGAATCAAAGCCTCATCTCCAACAATGAAAGCCTCAGAGAAAACTGGAGAAGTTCGACTCTTTTGTGCCAAGGATGACAAAAAGTCTTCATCTGAACGTCACATGACCCTGAGAACCCGAGTCTCAGTTGTGAAAACCATGGAGATTATTGAAGGCAATTCATTTATCCCTACCAGGGGAGACCAGAAGCCCTCAGGGATGCCTGCTGTGATTCTGAAACCAGAGTGTATCAGAAAGAGGTAACTAGGGATATTACCCTGTTGCACAAAGCAAATTGAGATCCTTCATAAAATGTGAAATGAGTGAATGGCTTTTAGTTAAAAGAAAAAGAGCAGTGAGGCACAAATGGGACTCACAGAATCACGGGAGAACTTTTCTAAATACAGATTTCTGAGCCCCTTCCCATACCTAGTTAACTCACCACTAAGCATTGGCCCCAGGAATCTATATTTTGAAATGTTCTTGGATAGTTCTTAAATAGTTCTTCACTTGGAGACTGTTGGCTATAGAAGAATATTTCCTAAACCTGCATTTCTTCAAGGTCCTGGATTTCATTAGTTGTGGCTCTTTGCCACATTGTGACTTTTTTTTTTTTTTTTTGTGGTGCCGGGATCGAACTAGGACTTGAGCATGCTAGATAACCACTCTATCATTGAGCCACATCTCCAGGCTCCCTGTCCCCCCTTTTTTTGAGACAGTTTCACTAAATTGATTAGACTGACCTTGAACTCACTATGTAGCATAAGCTGGCCTCAAATTTGGAGCTTCCTGCCTCAGCGGTCAGTCGAGTAACTGGGATTACAGGCAAGTGTCACCACATCCATCTTTAACAATCACTTTTAAAATCAGTTTGTTGGTATAATTGGAAGCCATTCTCAAATACAATAAAAGATGATACACCTAGAATAAATTTAGTCATTTGACACTACATAATATTTGTTGATAATGAGCTGTGTAAATAAAATGTGACAAGCTAGAAATTACACATTTCAGTATTTCCTAAGTAGAAATTTCCAATGCCTGGCCCATAATGGATTGCTCAAGAAAGGTTTTATATTGAGTATATATATATATCTGCATTTCTGCTAACATTGAACCTGGGTGGAAAGTAAATTCATGGATGGATTAGAAATTTTTTAAAAAGACACAAAAGTGCCTGGGATTAGTATATTATGTTCTATAGTCGGGAAGGTAATAATCTGATTTAAATGAGAAGTTTTAGGCAAACTCTGAGCTCTGGTTTGAGTCAAGCTATACTTAAAAATTTTTTCTTTCCAAGATAGCCATAAAGGATAAGAGCCTGTGAGACCACCTGACTGACTTCTAGTGGATGCTATAGATTCTTGGTGCCCAAAACTGCTTCCCCCATAACCTCCCTGTAATACCTTGCAGGGAGGCAAAAGAACCAGAAGTTCACACTGAAGCCATCTCTACTATCCAGCGTGTCTGCAGAAAGAGTTCTCTCTTGACTTTGAATCGGATTAGGCAGCAGCTTCGGTAAGACTATCTTTGGCAGGACTGCCATCTGTGATACTTGTAATCTTATCCTTTAATGCCTCTTCTGTTTGTTATTTGCTGATCCATTGAAAATCAGCTTTTACCTAGCATGTCTGGAGTTATGTTAAGTTTCACACAAATGTCATAGTTTGAAAGGTTTAAGAAGTGCTGCCCTGGGCTTATGTTGCTCCCATGGCCCCATAACTATCATTCCCAGCAAGACTTGGGGTGGGATGCCTAAAAACATTAACTTTGATAAACCTCAATTAAAATTTGGGCTTTTGTATCTGTGAACTTTGGGATGGTTATTTGTCCTTCCTTTCTAAGCTTCAATTCCTTAATGTGTAAACTAGGAATAATAATTTACAACTCACAAAGCCATCTAGGAATTAATGAGATAAATAATACCCTGAGCAGAATTTCTTAGGAGTACCCAAGTAGAACAAATCCTATATTGCATGGTGACAGGAAAGAGTAATGCCTCTAATCCACATCGATCTTTATCGAGTTCTCACAAGGATCAGAATATATGTTCCTACCATTCAGGTTTCTGGAAAAAAATAAAAGTGACCAAGAAGAGGAAGACTTTGTGCCAGCAGCAGAGGCTTCAGATTCTAGCAGCGAGGAAGAAGAGGCTTCTGCTCCAGCCCTTCCAAGGAGAAATCTTGGATGCGAGTCCAGGAACCGGCTGCCTTCCTCTAAGTCATCTGTACAGACCCCCTCTAAGACACCAAAGAAAATTGTAAGCTTCTTTTAGAATGTTTTCCAGAAAAATGGCCCTCTTAATTTAAAGGATAGGCATAATGAGATCAAATAATAACAGCAGAATTCCGCAGGCCTGTCATATTTAAAGCTATTCCTCCTGTAATGTCCACAGAGAAGCCAACCTAAGTGAACTGGAGGACTGAAAAATGAATCCATTTGAGGGTGATTTTTTTTCCTTGTTTTGTTATGTAGCCCAGACTGGCATTGAACTTGAAGAGATTCTTTTTTTTTTTTTTTTCCAGCACTGAGGGTTGAATTCAGGCATTCTGTTTGCTAGGTTCTATCACTTGAGCCATGCCTTCAGCCCTTGGCCTCAAACTTGAGATTTCAATTGCTGAAATCTTGAGATCCCAGGCATGTACCACCACATCAGGCTTGAGAGTAATTTTTGAGTTCAGGTTCCTTTTACGATCCAAAGTCAAATAGCCAGGAGCCAAGCTTCCTAGGAGATACCCAAAAGCTGATCCCTGGTCTTTGCATTTTCCCCAACAAGTGCTGGGGGCAGGGATTGAATCCAGGGTCATTTTGAGTCTTGTTTCCACTTGATGCACCTGAGAGACTGAGTGCTGCTTAGGTGTTGGTAATGACTTGTGTAATAGTGAAATGGAAGAAAGAGAAATAGGTATCTTTTCTGCTTCCTGTGGAATTTTATCAGAACATTTAAAAAATATTAAGGAAGAAGGGTCTTCTCATATTGAGGTGGGTTCAAGAACATCTTATTTAGAACATAGTTGGGAGATACTTGATTAGAAGGCATTCTAAAGCTGATGTCCATTTTGCCATATCAAGATAGAGCTTGGGTTGAAATCAAAGAGAATTCTCTAGGGAAGGGAATCCAGTAGATCAAGTTTGAACTAGAGGCTATCTTTGCCTAGAGTGCCTCACATATGCAAAATGTTCCCCCTTATTCTGGTTTGATTGCATCTCCTGAGCCTCACCCAAAAGAATGGGTATGCAGACTGCAGGACACTTTTAGCACAATAAAAAGATCAAACTCTACCAGGCTTCTTGATGGAAGGTTTTGTTATTCCTTTGCTATTTTCTCCACAATTAATAGATGTAAAGCCTTTTAAACAGCCAGAGTTGCTAAGTGCTTTCCCTTGAGGAAGAGGTGGAGGAGAAATGGTGATTTCTGAATCACTGTGAGCAGTAGGAGAGAGCAGAAACAGGCCTGCTCTAACCAGCAAGTCAGTAGCAAGGAAGAAAGAAGAATAAAATTGTGAGCCTGAGCAGTGACCCTGAGGTTTAGAGTGGAAAAATCTGGCAAGATTTCTCCAAACCAAAGCTTCACTGTATTTCAAACAAACCTAGAGAAAGAGCTTATGACTCAAACCCAATTTACAGCTCGTCTTCTATCTTCTGTTTAGGCCAAAATAATTCAGGTTTCTTAATAATTTCTTGTTTTTCAAGATAATATCTTACTTGTAAATAGTACTTTAAAAAGTACTTAATCCAAGGGTGGAAGGTGTAGTAGCTTAGTAATAGAATGCTTGCCTAGCATGCTCATGATTTTTCATTCTTTCCTCAAATTAACATTGTTTTCAAATCTTGATACTATATATAAATTAGAAGGAAAGGAAAGGGATTTGGACTGTCAACAAAATGTATATGTGATGTGCAGTGGGAATCAAGAGGGATTCACCACCATCTTTTACCAGATCAGTGCACTGTGTCCTGGATGGGATATTGCTTTGTTTTTCTTTCTGAATCACGTTCTCTTCTTTGAATACAGCCCAAGCCTAGAACACCACGTCAAGCCACTCCCCAAATCCGCAGTCGAAACCTGGCTGCCCGGGAGCCAGCCAGCGTGCTGGAGGAGGCCCGGCTGAGGTAGTGCTGCTTTTGGATCCCATTCGGATAGGCGGTGAGGGGATTTGCGGTCACTGGTGACCCTGCTATAAAATGAGTGTTTAAAAAGAAACCTCTCAAGCAGCATTTGGCTGTACTAATGTGGTCAGGCTTAGAGAGAGTCATCTTCCAGTCCACTGTCACCATCTTCTCGGGAATGGGAGGCGATTAGTCAGGACAGTACCTCTTAGTTAGGTGCCCTTCAGAACTGTTACATAGGTACTTTTTCAAAATGCAAAAGCCTAGATCCTAGCAGAAATCAAGTAAACTAGAAATTATTGTAGGATGAGGTCTACTTGAGTGATTTGGTTGGAGGAAAGGAGGCTAACAATTGAGGATGCATGGAGAGATTTAGAATGAAGGCATTTCCTTGCATTTGTGCTGGAGTTTTCATGTAGAATCAATAGATAAGCCTCTTCCATTTTATCATAAGTAGATGATAAAAGGCTTCTAAAGTCTTTTCCTCCATTTATCACCAACTGTAGGCTGCATGTTTCTGCTGTGCCTGAGTCACTTCCCTGCAGGGAGCAGGAATTCCAAGATATCTACAACTTTGTGGAGAGCAAACTCCTTGACTGTACTGGAGGGTGAGTCATACTGGGGAAATGGGTAGTTTGGGGAGGGGGTCCTGCTGAAACCAGGCTCAGGACGGTAAGCAAAACTATTGCTGAAGCTTGCAGCTTCTGAGGCAGCTTTTGTTCCCACCGTAATTCTATAGGAGTAAGGAATTCTGCCTTTCAAAAAAATTAGACTAACTTTCTTTGGGTAGTCAGTTTGCATACAGTCTTGCTTGTGGAATGGGTGATTCTGTCTACGCTGACCAGTTTCCATGGATGGTCCTTAGTATCCCCATCTCCACATTTCACGGAGTCTCTGGCCTTCCTGGCATGATATTGCTGGCATGGACTGGCCTACAGGTCTTCCATTCTTGCTTTAGGTGCATGTATATCTCCGGTGTCCCCGGTACAGGGAAGACTGCTACTGTACACGAGGTGATTCGCTGTCTGCAGCAGGCAGCTCTAACAAATGATGTTCCTCCCTTTCAATACATTGAAGTGAATGGCATGAAGCTGACAGAGCCCCACCAAGTCTATGTGCAGATCTTGCAGGTAAGCAAAAGTGTTTGGGCATTTTGGCAAATACAGTTTCTTAGAGGCACATGAAAAAGGAATGTTTTATTTCTCATGTCCTTGTGCAATGGTGGCAAGGATGAGGAAGGCAGAGCTGGGTATTGACTGACTGCAGGCAAAGCAGGACTTGCCAAAATAGCTGCAACTGCTAGCTCACAGGTTGCAGGGGAGTCAACTATGGCATAGAGGCTAGAGGTAACCCAAGTTGTAAACCTTGTTCTTTGATTTATTAGCTGTTACTTGGAACAAGTAATGTCCAAAAATGATGTAATAGCAATTTTAGGGAGGTTTTTGGGACCAGCCTGTGACTCAAGCATTTCAAACATACAGTTTCAAATTTTCTACTTTGGTACCTTCTCCTGTCCCATTAGGTTAACACTGAGACTAGAGTGTGAGGCAGAGTATCGTACACTGAAGTCGTTAGACTAAATAACTTCATCCTTTTACAGATTGTATGTTCAATCCATGGGAGTAAAGTCCTTACTGATAATTGCAACTGCTTTTTGCCCAATGTAGAAGCTGACAGGCCAGAAGGCAACAGCTAACCATGCAGCGGAACTGCTGGCAAAGCGATTCTGCACTCAAGGGTCCCCTCACGAAACCACTGTCCTGCTTGTAGATGAGGTGAGATATCCCCAGGAGGACTGGAAAGAGTAGGCAGTACTTGACTGTGCTGTCCCAGGAGTGAATAGGAGGAAATCCCTCTGTATTCATCTGAGACTGTCAACTTCCTCACTGCTTGGTAGGGTGACCTGGGCAACTCCTGCAGCTGAAGCAGTGGTAACAAGTCTTCACTCTGGCACTGGCTCACTAATTGACATTGTATCTCTCCTCTTCCCTGGCAGCTTGACCTTCTGTGGACTCACAAACAGGACATAATGTACAATCTCTTTGACTGGCCCACTCACAAGGAGTCCCGGCTGGTGGTCCTGACCATTGCTAACACCATGGACCTGCCAGAGAGGATTATGATGAACCGGGTGTCAAGCAGACTGGTAGGTCCTAAGCAGTTTTCAGTTTGTCCTTACAGATCCCTCAGCTGGAGCTGTGTTCTGCAAAAAATGAAAGCAGAAAATCTATGTTGAAATGAAAAACCCATTGCATAGCAAGTACCATATAATCTATGAACTTTAAGCTACACAGAGCCCTAGAAGTTTAATTACTTTTTAAAAACATATTTAAACTCTTATCACCTGCCACCTTTTAGGTGCATGGAATACAGCACTGAGCCAGGCAGATGTGATCTCTGAAAGCACAGCATCAAATCATGAAGACCTTTATTATATTAAAAGGAAAGGCAGGAGTTATACATAACATAGAGCCTAAGATCCTGCTACTCACATTAATTAGAGTACCTCTGCTTCTATCTACTTCTAAATGATTCTGGTAGAATAAAAGGTTCTTAAATGAAAAAGAAGTTTGAGAACTGCTTCTCTGCAGAATAGCACTGACCATTGTCAGTAATAACAGTAATTGAGAAATGTATAAATTGTTATGTGGGTTTGAGAGGAAGGTTTGGGGATCTGGGGGTGATTTTTCACCTGGACAGTCAATGAACTTGTTACTTGTCATCTTGGCTCCCCAGGGTCTTACCAGGATGTCCTTCCAACCATATACTCACAGCCAACTGAAGCAGATCCTGGTGTCCCGACTCAAGTATTTAAATGCTTTTGAGGATGACGCTATCCAGTTAGTAGCCAGAAAGGTAAGCCACTTCCAGGGACTCCTAGCTGTACCCAGAAGCCAGTCAGCAAGCCTTTAGTGGGCACCTGCTGCATATGAGGCCCTGTACTAAGTGCTCTAGGGAAGTCCTGTAAGAATAAGCCAAAAATGACAACAAAAATTCTGAGAGAATCCTTTACCTTATTGTGGTTTACTTAGAAGGTCATGGGTTTTGTTTTTCTTGTATACAAACTATTAATAAATAAAGAGACCAAGCAATTTTGTGTAACTAAAAGTGGGAGGTTATAGGTTACCTACCCTGAGCTCAGCTTTCATCTCTGAAAAATGGAAGTATTGATAGTTAACCTCATAGGGTCATTGTGAGAATCAGATTACATCTGTCTGTAATGTGCCTAACAAGGTACACACTCCAGAGTGGATCTGAAGCATCAGATACCTACATCCTCCAAGCTCACAAGGAGAGTGTGAGCTGAGCCTCCATCCCTGACTGTTCTGCATCTGCTGAGGTACCTGCCTCAAGCTGGAAGAAACCAAACATCCACAAGTCCCCTTGCTCAAAACTATCTAAATCCTGAGCAGCTGCAGCAGCAGCACATGCCGGGCACTACTACTTGGAGCTGGGTACTATGGGTACTACATGAAGTACTGGGGCCAGAGGTGAGCCAGTTTGCTCCTCTCTCCAACTTTGCTTTCCATGAGAGAAAGCCTCAAAATGACCCTCTAGCTTTTCTGTGGATAGAGTTTAGAGTTCTCATTTTTGCATGTTCTAAGTGTTCTTTTCTTCTCCCAATACTCCTTTTTTTTTCTTTTGATGTCAGCCTATTGTCTTCTTCCATTTTCCTCTAAGATGTCTTTTGTTGATTGGTTTTTATCTCTATCTTGTATTGTTGGAGATTCTCCTTGCAAGTCCTGGTTGTCCACTAGGTGTACAGATGGAGATTAAAAAAAACTGATTAGAGAGAGCTAGACGCTGGTGGCTCATGCCTATAATCCTAGCTACTCAGGAGGCAGAGATCATGAGGATTGTGGTTCAAAGCCAGCCTGGGCAAATAGTTTGAGAGAGCCTATCTTGAAAAACCCTTCACAAAAAAGAGCTGGTGGAGTGACTCAAGGTGAAGGCCTTGTGTTCAAGCCTCAGTACTGCAAAAACAAAAAACTGATCAGAGGTGGGCATACGCTTATAGGCCCAGTGATGGAAGGCTGAGGCAGGAGGATCTCTTGAACCCAGAAATCCAGGGGCAGCCTGGGCAACATAGTGAGACCTCATCTCAAAAGAGAGGGGTGATGAGAGACAGAGGAAGGGAGGAAGGGAGGAAGGGGTTGATAGCATTGCTTGAGAACAAATTTGTGGTCTCTTGACTTGGTAGAAGAGAGATAATCTCTGAGGTAAAGGGTTTTATGAGAGGAGTACAAATTACCAAGGCCCAAAATTTTCTCATAGCCTCCCTCAGTCAGTGGCCCTAATGTGTACCCGCCAGTAGGAAGTGGGGAAGGGATACCAGGCAAGGGTCAGCAAACTTTTCTATGAAAGGTGAGGTAGTAGATTTTGTGGGACATAACAACTGTTTCTGTTGAAACTACTTAACTTTGCTTTTGTATGCAAAAGCAAAAGCACCCATAGACAAAATGTGAAGGAATGAACATAGCTGTGTTCCAATAAAACTATTGATAAAAGCAAGTGGGGGCTGAATGTGATGGTACATACCTATAATCCCAGCATGGGGAAACTGAGGCAGGAGAATTTTGAGTTCAAGGCCACCCTGAGGTACATTTTACGACCCTGCTCTTAAAATAAACAAACAAAACAAAAACAAATTCTAAAAAAAAGTGGGGGGTGGAATTGGTTTTAGGGTCTGAAAGTTAGATTTTTTTTTTTTTTTTTTTTTTTCTGTTACCATGAACTTGGCATGCTGTTTGTTAGGTAGGCATTCTGCCATGTGAGCCACACCTCCTATTTTAGGCTTCTGGCCAGTAGCTGGGATGACAGGCGTGAACCAACTGTGCCAAGCTTTTTTCCATTGAGATGGGGTCTCACAGACTATTTTTGCCATAGCTGACCTGGCCTGGAACCACAGTTCTCCTAATCTCAGCCTCCTATGTGGCTGGATGACAGGTGTGCCACCATGCCCACCTATTGGTTGAGGTGACATATTACAAACTTTTTGTCTGGGCTGGTCTTAAACTTCGATTCTTCCTATCCCGATCTCAGCCTCCCAAGTAGCTAGGATTAGAGGTGTGAGACACCAGCACCTAACAAAAATTTCCTTCTTAAATTTCTGAATTTTTCTTAACTTTCAAGCAAGCTTCTTTGTTTTCTCCCTTTCCTTCCAGTTCCGGTACCAACTCCAGAGCATTTTGAAAGTATTCAATATAACTTCGATTTGTTCCTGGATTCCTCATTACCAGTTTAGAATTTGGCTTTCTCTTGTCTGCTAATGTCATTCCTCTTCTGCCTCTTTCCTTTTTTTTTTTTTTTGGTGATACTGTGGTTTGAACTCAGGGCCTCACATTTACTAGTGCTCTTCCACTTGAGCACTCTGCCAGCTTGTTTTATTTTAGGTATTGAGGTAGGGTCTCATGAACTATTTGCCCAAGTCTGGCTTCAAACAGAAGTCCTTTTGATCTCTGCCTTCTGAGTAGCTGGGATTATAGGTGTGAGCCATTTGTGCTCTTCTCTGCCTCTTTCCTTATTACAGAATAATATTGATGACTCTTCTCCTGTTGCTTCCTTTCCTTTTATGGTTCTTGGTTTTTTCATGAAGTCTGACCTGTTTTTTTTTTTTTTCTTTACATGTAGAGAAATATATTTTATATTCTGTATTTAAAATTAAAATATCTGAAGTCTTCATAGGTCTGATTCTCCTTTCTTTTAATTCTTCTGGTTCTCATGCATGTATGGCCTTGATTCCTTGAGGGTTTTTGTTTTGTTGATGGTACTGAGGTTTGAACTCATGGCCTTATGCTTGGTAGGCAGGTGCTCTACCACTTGAACCACCCTGCCAGCCCTTTTTGCATTGTTATTTTAAAGATAGGGTCTCACTTTATGCCAAACCAGTCTGGTCCATGATCCTCCTATTTGTGATTTCCTGCATCTGTGAGCTATGAGTACACCACCAAACCCACCTATTGGTTGAGGTGGTCTCGTGAACTTTTTGCCCTAATTGAGATATTCCCATCTAGCCTCCTGAATAGATAGAATTATTTTACTTTCACCATGTGCTCATGTTCCTTTATCTGAGAATTGAGGCCTAGGTTGAAGGTGAATTCAGTTTTGCTTCTAGCAATTACCTACGGGCACTACCAATTGGTAATGATTTTTTTTAAGAGATTTTTTTCCATTTGATGATTTTAGGACACTAGATTTGGGCTACAAATCCATATAGGCAGTTTTTTTCAGGGTCCTCTCTTGTTAGAGTCTGTGTTGGGTGGTTCCTAGCTTTTTCTTTCATCTCTCTTACCCCGCAATTGTCAAAAAGAATCCTCAGATCTTGCCACCTAAGGATCCTTCTCTGTTTTCCTTTCGGCCTCTGAAGTAGTTCTTGTGTCCATTCTGTTCACTGTGGTGGTGTTTCACTAACTGCTAATAGGAGGAAGGAAGTGATTATGGATATTAGAGAGAGGGAAGACTATAAATTGACATTCATGTTTCAGTCTTGGTTACTAGGAAAGTGATTTTTAGAAATTTTTTAATGTCTTAAATTTGAATCCTGACTACAGAGGTATACCCAAAACGCTAAAAATTGCTTATAATTCCTAGAAATGACTGTTGTCATTTTGTTTTTTGTGGAACCAAAACTCTTTCTGGGAAGCAATTAAAATGCAGGTGGACTAGGTGTTGTGTACCCAGGCAAAGGCAGAAAGATGGAGGCCAGCCTGGGCTACATAGTGAGATCCTCCCTCAAAAGCAAAACAAAACTCTCAACTACTCAGGAGGATTGTGGTTTGAGACCAGTCTGGGCAAAAAGTTAGCAAGACCCTATCTCAACAAAAAAGCTGGGTGTGATGGTTCCTGTCATCCCAGATACCCAGGATACATAAGGAAGAGGATCACGGTTCAGACCAGCCCAGGCAAGAAACATAAGATCCTACCTAAAAAATAACTAAAGCGAAAAGGATTGGGGACATGACTTAAGTGGTAGAATGCCTGCCTAGTAAGTATGAGGCCCTGAGGTCAAACCCAAGGACAGCCCAAGAAAAACAGAAAAAAAAGAAAATTACTGTCTAAGTCAGCATGGGAGAAAGTAGAACATTCTCTGAGAGGGGGAATTCCTGAACCCCTTTACCTCTGTGCACATGGAAGGGAAGGGGCAACAGCAGAGCAGTCAGCATTGTTCCTTATTCTCTTTCATCCATTTAACTAGAGATTCCTCTGGGTCCTCCAATCTTTGGGACTTCCTCCCCATCCCCCGCCTTTTTTTTTTCTTCAGTACCAGAGCTTGAACTCAGGGCCTACATCTTGAGGCATTCCACCACTCCTTTTTGTGTTAGGTATTTTTTTGAGATAGGGTCTCACAAACTGTTTGTCCAGGCTGGTTTCTAACTGCAATACTCCTGATCTCTGCCTCCTGAGTAGCTAGGATTATAGACGTGAGAAACTGGCACCCAGTCCCCATTCTTGATTTTGGTTCTCTTAGCCATTGTTCTGGCCATTCCCCCAAATTTACCACATACTGTGAGGCCTGCTGGTCTGTGGAATTATCTCCAGCAAGGCTCTAATTTAGCCTCTGGTCTTGGTGGACTGCTTCTAGGGGTATGCTTGTCTCTTCCTGCAGGGAACGAGAACCGTTGTTTCCAGATGGTTCAGTCTTGATCTTGGGTCAGGAATCTCTTTATTTAGACATCATTAGCTGAGAATTACTGCTGTTCCCATTGTGGAGTTATCTCCACAATGACAAAGGTTTGGACTCAGAGAATAGTACTAGCCATAGTATAATAATAATGTATCACTGTGCTTCTGTGAGGGCCCAGGCAGGTCTTAATTTTAGGTGTATGTCCATTCTTAGCATCATCTTCCCTCTGTAGCTGAATACAGACTCTACTGGTTCTTTACCTGGTATGAAGCTAGGGGACTTCGGGAATGACACATTCTTTCTTGTAGGTAGCAGCCCTCTCTGGAGATGCCCGGCGCTGCCTGGACATTTGCAGGCGTGCCACAGAGATCTGCGAGCTCTCCCACCAGAAGGGTGATTCCTCAGGCCTGGTCACTGTGACCCACTTAATGGAATCTGTGGATGAGATGTTCTCCTCATCGTACATCACTGCCATCAAGTAAGATTCTCTGTTCACTGCCCCTCCTTGGAATGGTCAGTGGAGATTGTACAGCCTGGGAAGCTTTGGAAACCTGCTCCCCTTTCTGAACTTTAACACATCCAATGTGCATTTACTAGACAGTACTTTTTCTTAATGGCATTGGCTGGTTGTTAGGAAGGAGGCACTGCTTTTCCTACTCTGCTCACAAAATGAGGGTGGGGATACTTTTGAGGTACTAGTAAAATTGCAGATGTAGTTAGTGGCTGTGACCTTTTGACTTGAGACTGGGGATGATGGAAGAATCCTGTCAAATAATGGTTCCCAGTGTTTTCTCTAACTGCACATTGAAGCTTTGTTTGGCTGTCTGTAGTACAGCCTCTTATGAGAACTCACATTTCCTCATGTTTCTTTTAAGAAATTCCTCCGTCCTGGAACAGGGCTTCCTGAGAGCCATCCTTGCAGAGTTCCGGCAATCAGGACTCGAGGAAGCAACATTTCAACAGGTGATTGTCTTTTTTCAAATCTTTCTAGATTTTGGTCTGGGGCTTTAAAAATCAGTGGACATTTCAATCAATGTGTAACAGTTTGTCTCTGTTTTGTACCACCCTGATTGTGCTAATCAGTTCAGCATGTATGTGATTTTTTTTTAAAAAAAGTTTTTAATTCACATGTAATAGTTATACATACTTATGGGGTACGGTATGATATTTCACTACATGTATACAGTGCATAGCAACCAAATTTCCTTATCTTTTTCCTTATCTTTTTGTGTGGGTGTGTTTGGGTTTGGAGCCTTTGAGCTACAACTTCTAATTTTTCTTTTTTCTTTCTTTGTAAGGTGCTGGGAGTTAAACTCAGAGCCTTGCGGATGCTTGGTGGTTTTGTTTGTTTTTGGCTTTGAATTCAGGGCTTCATACCTGCTAATAGGTGTTCTACTGCTTGAGCCACACCTACAGCTTTTTGGAGACAAGGTCTCACTATACAACCCTGGCTGGCCTTGAGATTGAGATCCTCTGCCTCAGCCTCCCCATTGCTGGGATTGTAGGCATGTACCACTAAACCCAGCAGTATCTCTGCTCTTGTCATACTCTAGTCTTGGTGTGAGCCGTAGACTCAAAAATATTTAGAACAGTGTCCAGCAGTGCTATGAGCTTGCCTGACCCATGGGGTGCTTCAGGGTAAGATCTGTGTTTGCAGCCTTCCTTCCTCCCTTTATTCCTTCTTTCAATTTTCTCCTTGGGCCCTGTGTTGGCTAAGGGTCATGCACTGGCATCTGCTTACCATATCTGAGAAAGGAAAAGTGCCCTTGTAGCAAAATTTGACTTAAATTTTGACAGTTTCTTTTGTGGACCTCTCAGCCCCTGGAAACCAGAATTATTTTTTAACAGTGACAGTTGACAATTATTTTATATCCATTAACTTATAAGGGATGTAAAGTGCATTTTGTATGTAAAAGTGAGGTGAAGTGACTTGGCCACTGTTGGGATTTATGTAAACGATAGAAGCAGGATTCAGACCTGCCGTGTTCTGACTCTGGCGTTGGTGTTCCGCTCTGACACTTGTCATCGTTGAGATACCCACTGATATCTTCTGGAGTATTTGGTGTCCTGAGCACCAAGTGTCTGCTTTTGTAAAAGAAAAAATGACTGATTGTATACAGACCCAGTATTATCTTCCTCTTAACTTTTGCCTTATTTATTTATTTGTTTGTTTACTTATTTTATTTATAGGTATACAGCCAACATGTGGCCCTGTGTAGAATGGAGGGACTGCCATACCCCACCATGTCAGAGACCATGGCTGTGTGTTCACGCCTAGGCTCCTGCCGCCTCCTCCTGTTGGAGCCCAGCAGGAATGATCTGCTTCTTCGTGTGCGGCTCAACATCAGCCAGGACGATGTGCTTTACGCGCTGAAAGAAGAATGGAGAACTTCACACCAGTCTGCTGTTTTTTAAAGAACCTGATTTTCTCTCTTGTTTTTATGATTTTTTTTGACACATGGCCTCACTGTGTAACTCAGGCTGACCTGGAACTCGCTAAGTAGCCCACGCTAGCCTTGAACTCATGGTACTCCTGCCTTCACCTCACAAGTGCTGGGATTATAGGCATGTACCACCACTCTCAGCTTCTGATTTTCTAAGCACATGGAATTATTGTACCAAAACATACCAGATGGAAATGGCAGTCATGTATTTAGAATTTTCTGTTAAATAATTTGCTTTTTACAGCATGTTTGTGAAATTTAGCCAATACAAACATTCAGGTTCTACATTAGGCCCTTCCTCTGACTTATTACTGTTACTAGCCGTTCCTGTCATTTAATTCATGGTAGCAAATCGTGTGTATAAATATGCATACAGTGTAGTTTTATGTATGTAAAATAGTTTGGGGAGAATTTGTAAGAAATTTGTTACACTGTTTCCTTCTGGGAAAGATCTGGGTGGTTAGAGTCAGAAGTTAGGAATTTTACTATATACCATTTCCTTATTTTACATTTTGGACAATATGAAACAAATCTGTTTATAAAATAGGATTGCCAGAAATAATATTAAGTATCATCATGGCTTGAAAATAAAAGTTTTGAAAAATGTAACATTTACTGCAAGAAATCCTTAAAACATAAAAGATCTGTGTGCCACAGAGAATGTGTAAGGGCCCAGGAATCAATCTTAATAAAGAGATGGCAATTAGTTTCTAGATACAATTCTTGGAACAGCTTCTTGTATGACTTGCAAGTTAATTACACCATTTACTGGGAAACCAAAAACAGGACAAATGACAGGGAGCCTTATGTGAACACAGCCTTACCCAGAAATGTTTGGCTTGAATCTATTGATTACAAAATTACCAGAAAAATCTAAGTTTACTAAGAAATGTTTTACATTGAAACTGAATTCTTAGCACTCCAATCACTGCAAACATTTATTACAGAGAGGCATGGTGGTATGTGCCTGTAATCCCAGCACTTGGGAGGCAAAGGCAGGAGGATTGAGAGTTTAAGGCTAGCCTGGGCTACATAGTGAAATCCTGTTTCCAAAAAAGTCACAAATGGTAAGAAAAAGGAGAAAACAACAACAAAAACCACATAGGAACCATTGTAGGCCAAAGGAGAATGGAGATGAGAGACATGACACCTAAGTGTACTTGATGAGGTCCTGGATTTAAGAAATATAAACATGAACTACATTCATATTAATAACATTAATATGTGTTAAGATTGTGAGTATGATGAATTTGGTTACATAAGAATGCTCTTAGGAAATTCATGATGAAAACGTGTCTATAACCTAATACAGTGCACTGAGGAGCTGTGTCAGGATGTATATTAGAATGCCTGTCGGTGGCAGTACGGAACAAATGGAGCCCAAATGGCCCACGTGATGGGAGTAGAAACTGGAATGGCTTCACTTTGGAGATAATTTGGCAATATTTAGTCTGGAAAATGCAAGAACTCCCAAGAGCCATTAATTCCATTCATACTAATATACTCTAGGGAAATTCATACACACACGCTCTGAATTGTATTGAAGATTGTTCCTAGCATCACAAATAAGTAGTGGGAAGCCATTGCAAAAGTGATTTGTTCATTTTTGTACTATGAAATACCATACAGAAATGAACATCAATACATATCAATGTAGATAAAACAGGCTCAGGGTTGTTGGAAAAGGTGAAGAATTCTGCGGTGTGATATTTAAAAGCTTACAAAGAATTTCCATGTACTCTACAAATACACATAATTGCCCAGAAATAAAAACCTCTAAGAACAGGAAGTTTTGCATTATGGAAAGTGTACAGGTGGCCTCAACTGTATTTTCTTAAACTTTAATAGGTGTTCATGTGTTGTGTTAATTCACATACAAAAGATAGGAAATACTGTGTGTCATGTCTGCTCTAAACATTGGAGATACATAAGATTTTCTGCTTTTGTGGATGTGTGTATCCTGTGAATGTGAAATGTAACATTGTATATTTTAAACGCTTTATTATAAAAATGTTAAATACTTTCAAAGGAAGAAATAAAACCTTAATTTTAAAATGCTCAGCTTTCCTTTCTCTGGGAAGTCACCCCAAACAACAAGCAGATGGAAAAGCTCTTTGGCCAAGGAAATTGGAAGATCTTGGAAAGACCTTTAGGAGCTGGGCAGGAGTGAGGTGGCAATATTTTAGCTGGCAGCAGACTAGCTTTTTTTCTGATACCAAAGAGGATGGCTTTGCATTTCCTTGGGCAAGAAGATTTCTCTGAGCCTCTGTTCCTTTTAGGGATAATGTCCATCTATTATAACTAGCACAATCTAAGAAAACAACCCAGTCTCCCTCTTTCCTCTCCCCTCCTTTCTTGACTGCAGTATAGGGTAAAAAGTAAGAATTTAAAGTTTTTTAAAAACATATTTTCCGTGCTAGGGATCAAATCTAGGGCTATGTCGCCAGCTCCAAACTTTAGTTTTTGAGACAAGAGTCTAGCTGGCCTTGAACTCCAGGTCTTCCTGCCTCAATCTCAAGAGTGTTGGGATTAGAGACCTGAACCATTACGCCTGGATGCCCTAAAGGTTTCTGAAGTATCTTCCAGAATGCAATGCGCTCTACCTGTGTTACCTGAAGTTTCAGCCCACTCTGATTATAAGGGGGTTCTTTTAAGGAGCTGAACTAGCCCCATTTCCATTTTCCTGGAGCCTTGTTAGGGTACTTGGTGTTCCGCCGAGAAGCCTCGCTCTCGGGGCGTGGGCATGAGGTGGAGTGTCCTGGCTTGGGAGGGAGCGAGGCGGACTGGCCTGGCAGTGGCTGGGCAACCGAAGAGGCGCACCTACTCCATCTGCGCAGGCAGCTGGAGGCGGGGGTGGAGCCAACGAACACTCCTTTTTGCGAGTCTCGCGCTACCTGGCCGAACGCGCCTGCGCACTGCTAATCCACCCTTGGAGTCACCTGTCCGATCGCTCCACCCGCTTGCCTGCCCATGCGCACTGCGAGCTGCCGGGCTGAAGAGTCACGTGTCGGGTGCCAGCCGCCTCCCGGGCGGGCGCTTCCTGTCGCTGCTTTAGCCGCCGCTTGGGGGCCGCGGGAAGCCAGGGCGGTGCCGGGCTGGAGAAGGCCCGTGTTTTGTTCGGGTCCGCCGCGAGGTATGCCGCGTACCCGCCCCCCGGCCTGGGGAGGTTTGGGGGCGGCCGGGGTGATGGAGACGGCTGGGGCCGGGCAGGGCTGGGCGGTGCGCCCTGCCGCGAGGGAATGGGGGTTCTGGCCGCCTCCCACTTCGGACTCTGCTGCCCACCTCTCCTCAGTCCCGGCTCGGGCCCAGCACTGTGGCCGCATAGTGGAAGAGCCTGACTGATCTCGTCTTCCTGCTGAGCCGGCTCGCTCCCACGCCCGGCTCAGTGAAAGCCCCGCGATTCACCCAAGTCACCGAAATCTGACACTTGGAGTCCTGAGCGCGCGCTCCCGTGATCCCACACCCCGTTAACCTCGCAGCCTTCCTAACTCTGGACCCCGTCTGCTCCTTTCCACCCTCACTGCCACCTCCCTCACCCACTGCTGTAAGATGCTCAGAAACCAGGACGGTTTCCTGTGCTATGCTCTCCACGTCCTGTGCACCTCCCTTAGGCAGTCAGGGTGATGTTTCCTAAACGCCGGTCCCAACCGGTCACTTCTTTCCCTGTTGCTGTCAGGATAACACCCAAACACCTTTAGGCTTAAAGATTTTGTGTTGTGCCCCTTGGCTCACAATGCCATCCATCTTACCTTATACTGTCTCTGATCTCCTGGCTGGGTGTATGCTCCAGTAATAGAAGCCCCTTAGTGTGCAGGGCAAGCCATTTCTCAACTCAGAACCATTGCAGGGTGGTTCACTCTGCTTGGAATCCTATTGCCCTTCCTTCCCCCAGCTTCATCATGACTCAGCACAGGCACCACCTCCAAGAGTCCTTTTCTCTCTGCGTTGGTAGGAGGCTACCTCTGGGCACCATAACCCCACAGCAAAGTCTGAGACCATGACAGATGAATTTCTGCACTCCTAACGTGCAGCCCTGCCTCCCATGGAAGTCCCATGAGTGGTGGGGAAATCTCAGAAAATTTGCATGCTGAATCAGCTTTCTTTCATGCAAGGAAACTGATGCAGGAAACATTCGGTATCTGTTCTCCAGGTGATAGCCACTAACTACATAGAACTGTTGAGCACTTGAGATGTGTCTGGTGTGACTGAAGAACTGGATTTTTAGTTTTAATTAATTTAAATTTAAATGCAGATAGCCACCTGTTGCTTCCAGAATGGACAGCTCTACTTTAGAGCCTTTTCTAATCCTACCCAGTCTTTTACCCACTCTGTACTTAGAGATGCTTCCCTGAATCTGCCTTCTAAATTGGTCAGTTCGGTAACTACACTGTGTCTCCACGCTGCCCACGACCCTCCCCACAATCCCAGCCTTCTATCCTCCCTGTTGCTTGCTTCAGTGCCCTAATTCCAGTGTTGGTATTTTACCCTGCAGGACCCAGAGCTGCCTCCTTGGGGAGTTCACTAACCACACCTTACCACTGGTACCCCTATTGGGGGCACAGCTCATAGTCTACTTTAGTCTAAGTCTTTTTAATTCCCCATCTGATAGGTATCTAGGCCACCAGGATGCCAGGGCCAAGACCTCGGAAGGGCCCTCAGGCCAGTGGCCAGGGTGTGGCAGCTGCCAAGCAGGTATGGACCTGGCTTCATTCACTCTTGGGCTAATTTGGGGTGGGAGTTTCTAGACAACTTGGACAAATTGAGTGACCTTTGTGGTTTTCCTGTTAGTTCAGAGACTGAGCAGGGCCTCCTGAAGGTGGCAAAGCTCTTAAGAACCTCTGATTGGAGCCTCGTGGGTAAAGGAGGCCTGACCTCCCCTCCTGTGTTTTAACCCAGCCATCCTACTGTGACCACTTCATACAAGTAGTGTGGAGGGCTCAGCAGCCACCAAAGTTTAGGATGTTCTGATGTTCTTATTGCTCTCACAGGTTCCTCATTTAGGGTCACAACTTTGCTTGCCAGCCAAGGATACCAAGGCTTGAGGGCTGTGGCCAGTGGGTGGACTTTGCTGCCTAGGGACATAGCGGGAAGAGGGAGGGTGTCTGTCTTCCAGTTTTCTCCCTTTATTTCTTCTGACCCAAGTCCTGAGACTTCTTAGTCTATTTTTATTCTCTTTTAGATGCATATAAGGAGTAGGTGGGACTGAGGGTAGACACCGAAGTCACAAAGATCTTATTTTAAATTCTGGTTCTGTCATTCAGGAGGCTTTCTCATTTTCATCTAAACATTGAAGTAAAACTAGGACCTCACTCTTCAAATATGGACATAGTTACAGACACAAAAACTAGAATGACGGTTAAAAGGATGGAGATAGGGGTTAGTGTTTAATAGGTGCAGAGTTTCAGTTTTACAGCATGAAACCAGTTATGTGGATGGTGGTGCTGGTTGCATAACAATGCAAATGTGCTTGTGCCACTGAATTGTACACTTAAAAAAGGTTAGGATGGCAAATTTTATGCCATGTATTCTGCCACAATTTAGAAAATAATGGGCCAGGTTTGGTGACACATACCTTTAATCCCAGCACTCGGGAGGCTGAAGGAGGAGGTTCAAGGCCAGCCTGTGCTGCACAATGAGACCCTGTCTCAAAAAACAAAGTGATGGGGAGCTACTTCTCAGGATTGTGAGAATTAACTAAGATAATCCTGTGAAATGCTAAGTATACACCTGGAAGCTATTGCTATTATTGCTGTAATAATAATGGCCGTGTATCCTTACTGGATTCTTTGAGGAGTCCCCTGGGTTACAGGCTTAGTTTTTCCTTTCTGCACATTGGGCACTTCACAGAGTGAAGGAACCATTGACTGGCACAGCCAGCCCAAGTCTGGCTCTGGGGCTGGGATCTACCCTGCCTCATTTTGTGAGTCTTAAGAATCCTTCTCTGCTATCAGTTGGGGCTTTTTGTGGAGTTTAATCCTGAGGACATGCTGCTGAGGATGGATGAAACTGAAGATGATAGGGACCTGGAGGCTGAACTGTTGGCCCTCACTGGAGAAGCAGGGACCACAGGCAGGAAGTCAGCACCCAAGAAGCAGGGTGAGTTTTCACTACTGGGGTGGGCTCAGTACTAGGACCTGCTGAGTGCAGACCCAAGGTAGAGAGAGTCCTTGCTTTGCAGCCTGGAGGAGCCAACCGGACTCCCTGGTCCTTATGATAACCTCTGTACCCTCTGAGCTCTTCCACTGTGAGGTCAATCATACCTGTGCTGTGAGAGCTGACTCTTTCCCCATGTGGACAAATCTGATTCTCACTCTAACTTAGGTCACTTGCCTTAGCCAGGGCCTAGTATACAGTAGGAGCCCAGTTAGCATTGGGCACATAGCAGATACACAGAAATTGTCAGATGAATAGGTGAAAATATCCCTGTACCACCTGGAAGAGGACAGAGCTCTTATGCCTGGGAGGATCTAAATCTCCCTGACTTCTCACCAGGACCCCTCAGAAAATAATGAGAAGACTGGGAAGGGCCTCGCTGACTTGGCCCTGATTTAGGGCCTGGGTTTTACTTAGTTTTGGCTCTTACTGTGATTACAAAGTTAGCAAAATTGATGCTAGTAGTTCCAAGCTTACTCAATATATAAAATGGGGATATTACCAATCTTGCAGAATTGTAAAGCTCAAATGGATGCTAGAAATCTTTACAAATGTGAGAGAAAGGTGTGGTTGGGCATGATGGACACATTTAACAACTATTGGCAGAAATGCAGAGAAAGCACAGCTTGTTTCTTGTTGGAGGGCCTAGGAGGGTGTCCCTGACAAGGGTCTTTTGAGCTGGGTCATAAAGGAGTTTTCTGGGTGGGACTTGGCTATATGAAGGAAGGTGGATCTCTGCCTGGGCATATCTCCTCATACAATGCATTAAAGACCCTCCGTTCCTTGTCCTGGACTTCGAGTTTTCCTCATCCTCTTCCCCTAGCCCCTCTGCCTATGGCTCACATCGAGAAGTTGGCAGCAGACTGTATGCGGGATGTGGAGGAGGAGGAAGTGGAGGAAGAAGGTCTGGAGGAGGATGTAGACCTGCTGGTGCGTCTGCCAGGCTGGTATCCAAGGGCTCTGCTGTTGATTTCGGATCTGGTGGAGGAGAGGGCTGTAGAAAGGAGGCCTTGGGTTTATCCCTCAGGGTCTCTTAACTTTCAGTGAGTGTCCTGCTCTTCCCAGGCCTGTCTTCCTGGCTGTACAGTGTGAAACTTGTTTCTTTTGACTTTTCTTAGCTCTGCAGCTGGGGATTCTCAGATTTGAAGATTTTAAGGCTGTTTTTGTTCAGATTAAATAAATATTTTGGTAAAGGGGACTGTGCACATTGGGAAATACTGCAGAGGGAGAGGATACGTTGTTCTGTTCTTGTCATTATTGTGGCCATAAAGCCTCCAAACTCCTGGGACTTGTGTACCCCCAGACAGAGCTCAAGGAGGTCCTGGGTGTGGATGAAGAGGCTGGGCCGCTGGATGGTGGTGAGGTTGAAAGCCCAGACCTCTCTGAGGAGGAGAAGGGACTTGAGAACACTGAGCCTCCAATGCAGACAGACCTCCTAATGGCTTCAGTCCCAGTAGCTCAGGTAGGCCCTGGAGGAGGCCCCTGTGTGCCTTTGATGTCCTTGCATGAGCTTACACATAGCATGGCTTGCACACTAGTGTCGCTAAAATAACCCTTGGCCAGGAGCTGCCCCAAGCAGAAGCCAAGTGTGAGAAACTCCTTTGTGCCTGGCTGACCTCAAAGGCCTCTCTGTTCTCCCAGACCCATTTCTTGGCCTCCATGGATTGCCTGGGCTTCTGTGTTTGCCTACCATGGGCTCTGGCCTCTGCAGTGGGTCTTTGCTTCATATCTTGGGGATTTTGGCTCTTTCCCCTTGAGTCCCAGAGCTCCATCTTCTGGAGCAGCTTCCTCACAGGGAGAATAGCAAGGGCCTAACTGGCTGTGGAGTGGCCTACCCCTGAGCTGAAGTATTTGCAGGCTGGAGGCCCTCAGGGGCTGCAAGCTCTGCTGGAGGAACGGATCCACAACTACCAGGAGGCTGTGGCCAGTGCCAAGGAGGCCAGTGAAGCCGCCAAAGCCAGGCGCTGTGAGCGAGGCCTGAAGGTGAGTTGGGCCCACTTGGAGACCAGCAGTGGTGCTGTGGGTAAGGCAGTAGGAATTGCTGTCCCAGTGGAGGGGTGGTTTCCCCACCAGCCTTATAGAGGTGGTGGATCCCTAGCCTGGTGGACCCAGGTAAAGATGGTTACCTGTGTTTCTGGACTAGTTCTCTTCCCTCAGACTCTGGAATCCCAGCTTGCTGCTGTGAGAAAAGGCAGGAAGATCAATGAGGAGGAGATCCCACCTCCAGTGGCCTTGGGCAAGAGGCCGCTGGGCCTTCAGGAAACCGCCAATAGGAACCCTAAGGCAGATTCCCCAGCTCCCTCTGCCATGGACACAGGTAACTGGAGGCACCTATCCTAATTTCTGCCCTAGTTCCCAGGGTCAGAACCCATGGCTTGCCTTCCCTGCCTGTCCCTGTCATTGCCTCAGACCAATGAGACCTGTGGGCGCTGGAAACCCAAAGCACACCCTTGTACCCTCTATTGGGGCTTTTCATTTCCTATAGAAAACACCTCCCAATCTGAGATCAGCTTACCAGGAAGCTCTGCCATTGCTGTCCCACCTGATTCAGACCCAGGCCCACAAGCCCTGCTGTCAGCCCGACAGAGAGAGTACAAAGTGGCTGCTCTCAGTGCCAAGCGAGCTGGAGATCTAGACCGTGCTCGAGAGCTCATGAGGATTGGGAAGGTACAACATCTGGCTGAGAGCCACTGTGTCCCATGCTGCATTTTACAGATGGGAAAGCAGAATCTCAGAGTGATCCGGACTGGACTTGGGTGCGACTTTCCTGGGGGTAGTTATTTCAGGGCTCCCTTGTTTATGTCCATACCTGCTCTTTTCATTGCTGCAGAGATTTGGTGCTGTTCTGGAAGCCCTGGAGAAGGGGCAGCCTGTGGACATGAGCGCCTTGCCTCCAGCACCTGAGGGTCTGTATGGGCAATTGGAGGTGTCTGCTCAGGCTGGGGTTGGGAGAATCTCAGGTGTGGGGCTGGCCAGACACTTTGCCTACACTTCTGCTCTGGGTTCCCAGATCTGAAGGCCTTCCCACAAGCTTCTAAGGTCCCCACAGCACCCCCAATCCTGTCCCCAGCAGTGGAGCAAGTGCAGCCAGTGATGGCCTCTGACATCCCATCCACCCCAGGTAGGTAGGACAGAATGGTGGGACTGTGGAGTAGGGACCTGGGGAGGGGCAGGCAGAACTGATGCCCTCTTCTTACTCACTTTAAGTGGCCCCTGCAGAGCCACAGACAGTGCTGGATGCCCTGCAGCAAAGGCTGACCAAGTACCGAGAAGCAGGCATCCAGGCCCGGACCAGTGGGGACGAGCGCAAGGCCCGTATGCATGAGCGCATCGCCAAGGTGGGCCTGAGACTGCACAGTTCCCTTTCCTGTGCTGACCTCTCTGGACAGCTCTTCTCTGTCTCTGCTTCTCCCATTAACCCTGGGTTTCTCTAAGTCTTCATTTGTCTGTCTGTCTCTCTGAAGTTCTTACTGCCTTAGGGCTCTTTTTCTCCTGGGCTACTGTCCTGCCCTGTTTTTTTTTTTCCCTGCCTCTGTTGTGGGCACAAAGCCTGCAGACTTTAGCCCAACAGATGTCCCTTCTTTGCTTCCCATGCAGCAATATCAGGATGCTATTCGAGCTCACCGAGCAGGACGGAAAGTGGACTTCACTGAGTTGCCTGTTCCTCCAGGTGAGTGGAGCTTGGCCTAGGGACCTTCTGAGGTCTCTGAGCGAGAATGGAGGAAGGGAGAAATGTCTCATGTAACTGTCTGCACCCTGTGGGAGTCCTTCATTCCCGCCATGCTCAGGCAGAGCCAGACAGGATCCTTAGGACCTTTGCATATCTCTGAGGCTGTTTCTTCTCTTCCCTGCTCTGTCTCTCCTCACAGGATTTCCTCCCATCCCTGGTCTGGAGCCCACTATGGATACAGCAGAGGATTCAGTGGCAGCAGCTTTGGCAGCTGCCCCAAAACTAGCCTCCTCGGAGGATACAGCCCCAGCAGATGTAGATGAGGACGAGGATGAGGTTTGGCTGAGGGCCTAAGACTCCAGCGCTTGGTGGGGGGATAAGCAGTTGATGGGTAAACCCATACCCTGTTCTCCACACAACAAGCCCAATGAGATGAGTATCCTTCCCTACATTTTAGAAAAAAACTTGGCCAAGGACAGAGTTAGAATTTATACCGAGGTATTTCTGACCTCAGACTCCAGGTTCAGTTCCCACTACCCTGCTGTATCTTGCTGGGGAGGTTACCAAAGAACTGTCACATCTAGCTTGGAGATGTGGGGTGCATGAAGGGGAGCCACTCAGCTCACATTACACAGCAAGTTAGTGTAGTGCTAGTTAAGAGAGCCCAAGTCTGGTGACTGCCCTGGCCAGGGTGGGGAATGGTCCCTTGTGACGGCTTTCTGGGCACCTGCAGGATGAGCCTCCAATACAGGCTCCGGTGGCCAAGAAGCTGGCGCAGCCTCTGGTTCCCTTATCCCAGCCCCTGCTTGAGCCCAAGGCCTCGAGTTCTAAGGAGTCACTGAGTCCAACTGGTGAGTGGGGGACAAGCAGGATAAAGGAGCAGAGGGTCTAATGAGGGGCAGGCATGGCCCTAACCAGTGGCGTCTTCCCTTCAGTGCGGGAGCAGCTGGTGCTGCTAGAGGCTCGGAAATTGCAGTACCAGAGAGCAGCTCTGCAGGCCAAGCGCAGGCAGGACCTGGAGCAGGCCAAAGCCCATCTGCGGGTGGCCAAAGGTCTTGAGGCTCAGATTGTCCAGGCCCGAGCTGGCCGACCTGTTGACCTCTCAAAGGTGAGTCCCACCTGGCTAGACAGGAAACTTTCTTTCCTTGTGGTGGGCTAGGCTTGACAGGCAGGACCATGGGCTGGGACAACTTCTGGAAGGAGATGGGATTTGGATAGGATGAAGTGACAGCTGGGAAAGAACCTTTTGCTTATGCAAAAGAGAGGCTAGGAAAAGGGAAGGTGGGCTGCTCATGGTCAGACATGACAAGGCAGGGCAAGGCCAATGAGTGGGAGCAATGAGTCCCTGTCATTGATGGTTAGTGAAAGTTGAAGAAATATTTAGTATAGGTACCTGTATTTGCTGGACTAAGTAGAGGAATAATCTGACTCTTGGGGCCCGAGGGGCCTGGTGACCTGGGCAGGTGCCTTCACCTTTGACGGATGAAGAGGGTGACTTCATCTTTATCCACCATGAGGACCTGCGACTCTCTCAGAAGGCCGAAGAAGTGTATGTTCAGCTACAAAAAATGCTTCTGGAGCAGTATGAGGTCCGTAGGCCATGTCCTCAACCTCCGTGTAGAGAAAGGCCAGGTGCTCAGAGCAGGTAGACCTGGGCTCAGATTCTAGCTCTTCCATTTTCTGGTGGTGAACAAGGTACTTCCCCTCTCTGAACCACATTTCCCTCATCTATAAAATGGATAACACCCTTTCAGGGTGGTTGTGAAATTCAAACAAGAGTGAAGGGGAATGGGCTTTTTAGATGGGAGGGGAGAGAGACATGTTTCCTTGTGTGAAACTATCTGAAATGTTCTGGGAAGTCTGTCTTCTGAGGTAATATTTGGATTAGGTTTTGAAGGAAGGAATTCTTTAAATGAATTTTGGGCAATGGCTATCCTCAGAAGAGGAAACAGTATAGTCAGCCATGTTTGGTGGGACTTGAGAACCTTGCCCTTGGGGAATGTGTTGGGGAAGGAGAGGTGAGGCTACAAAGGGAGGTTGGAGTTTTGAGAGACCAGGTAGCCTAACCAAGTCCTGGTTCTGAAGTCACTTTGGGCCTGTTTTCAGAAGTGCCTGCTGTTCTCCAAGCAGTTCATGCACCAGGGAAATGTGGCTGAAACTACCCGGTAAGTGCTGGGGCTAGGCTGGGGCTTGTGGGGTGGGGCGCAGTGAGCTTTGTTCTGCTGACGTGTACCTTTCTCTGATAGGTTTGAGAAGCTTGCTCAGGACCGTAAGAAGCAGCTTGAGATCCTGAAGCTGACCCAGGCCCAGGGTCTCGACCCTCCTAGCCACCACTTTGAGTTGAAGACATTCCAGACTGTGAGGTGCTAAGGCCTAAGAGAAACAGTGCTCTGTGTAGAGATGGGCAAAAGGTTGAGAGCTGAGGGTGAAGACTCATCTTCAGTGAGACTTCCCAAGCCCCAGGCACTGGGGCTGGTGAGGAGGAGGATATGCTGCCTGCCAGGGAGGAGCTCAGAGCTGTGGTGGCTGTGGAAAGAGCTCTGGACTGGAGTCAGAGACCAAGGACCATGCGAGCTCTACCCTTTCTAGCATGACATCTTTTCCTCCCTGGGCCCACTCACCACTTAGCTGGGTGTGCAGGAACTGGAATACCTTATTCTTCCAGTATCCTTCATTCTAAGCTCTCCATTTTTCTTGGCTGTAGGATCTTCTCAGAACTCAATAGCACAGAAATGCATCTCATCATTGTCCGGGGAATGAACCTCCCAGCCCCTCCAGGTAACCCTAGGGTCACCATTCTGAAGGATGCTCTTGCCCAGACACCACCCCAAGCACTAGGCTTCTGAACATTCCCTCTGACCCGATTTTCTTTTCTCCACACAGGAGTGACCCCTGATGACTTGGATGCTTTTGTGCGGTTTGAGTTCCACTACCCTAATTCGGTGAGGCTCAAGTAATGTTCCTCAGTATCCCAGGACTCTGCTCAGTTTCTCTACATCCTTGGGAGGACTGGCTATAAAGATGGGTTTGAAGACCTTCCAGCCTATTCCCTTCAGAGGCCTCTTGCCTCAGCACTGACCCAGTCCAGAGTTCCTGGCCCTATAATGTACCTCAAGCTGGCCTCATTACTCCTTCTCATTGCTTTGCTGTCCTGATTATTCCTTCTTACTGCTTTAGGAACAGGCTCAGAAAAGCAAAACAGCTGTGGTGAAGAACACAAATTGTCCAGGTAAGTGCCACACAAGGGCAATTACTCCTCACTCCTCACGTGGGTTGCATTTGTGTTTCCAGATTGCTTTCAGGTCTGCTATCTTACTTGGTCCCCAATTTTGGAAATATAGGTGCTTACACTTCTCTGTGTAATTGGAGAAATGGGTTTGTTGGGGTAAAAGGACTTGCCTAGAGCCTCATAGCAAGGAGGTGTTAGACATAGGACTTGAACCTAGGATTCCAATTCCTTCCCACTTTGTTATAATATGTGTTTAAAAATACAAACACTGCTTCCAAGGTCAGGATCTAGATGCTCTACTTCCTTTGGGAAATCCTTGGGAGCCAAGCCCCTTCTTGCCTTCTCCCTCTTTTGCAGAATTTGATCAAGTATTCAAACTAAACATCAACCGAAACCACCGGGGCTTCAGGAGGGTGATCCAGAGCAAAGGAGTCAAGTTTGAAATCTTCCACAAAGGGTGAGGTTCTTGTTAGTCACACTGCCAAGGTGGATGGAGAGGCAGTGCAGTCCCTGCTGCTCTGCTGCTGCTCAGTTTTCTTACAGGGTTCAGCCAGCTTATTCCTCCTTCCTGAGCCCATGCTAATCTTTTGCTGCCTCTTGGTTCCCCAGATCCTTCTTCAGAAGTGATAAGCTGGTTGGTACAGCACACCTGAAATTGGAGCGGCTGGAGAATGAGTGTGAGATCAGAGAGATCATGGAGGTAGGGTGCAGGGAGTGGGTAAGGCAGAGGACTTGGTAAGAGGAGAGCCAGTATTCATGGAAAACTAGCTACTATTGTAGGTTTCTGTACCTATGACTTGATTTAAAGCCCTGTAATGTGCTGTTGAGTAGAGGGTATACCCATTTCACAGATGGAAGAAGTCTGAGAAACTTTCAGTCATCTGGATAGGATATAGCCATATTCATTCCACCACAATGGGTCACTCAAGTTCCCAGTGATGGTGGATGACAAAAGACCCTTGAGGTGTCTGACCACTGCTGTCAGTTTGCCATACACATTCCTAGGTTTCTAGGAGCAGGGCTGTGGTTGGGGCAGTAGGCTAGCAGCGTGAGGAAATAAAACAACTCCAGACCTGAAACTGATACAATATTTCTGTCTGAGACTTACAAGAATGCAGCTAATCTGTGCTTACAATATGGCCCCAAGATAGCTCCTTAAGCATCCAATTCAGGATTACATAGGCTTGCCTCTAACAGATGGAGAAACTTAGGCCAGATTGAAAGAGTTTATGTTTGTTCATGGAGTTTATCCTGGGCAGTCAGATCCAGGCTCTCACTGATGCTTGGAGACTGGGGTTTTTCTCACTATACTTACCTGCTCCCTGCCTGCCTGTGTGTGTGTGTGTTGTGGTGGTGGTGGGGTTATTCTGAAGTGGGGTCTCATCTGTTTTGGCCCTACTGAAGGTTATACATTTTCTCACACTTGTTGCAGTGATTTGTGCTCAAAATGCCCCCTTCTGCCCTAAAGAAGGGAGTAGCATGGTGGGTAGGAAAGAGCCTTTGACTTGGTTGTTGTCCTGATTCTGCCACAAAGTCAACCACATCTCTCAGGGTCTTCTGTAAAGTAAGAGTTTGGGTTCTGGTTTTCAGACTATTCTGAAGCCAGTGTTTCTTTCAGGAGTTGCCATGGGGGATTGAGAGGAAAACTGAGCAAGTAGAGCCCTAGGATTTCTTCAGTCAGAACACCAATGTTTACCTAGATTTCTACATTACTTCTTTATAAGACTTATCTAAAACAACCAGCCTACCAACATGCAGCAGGAGAGTAGGGTTATCCTGATGGAGATGCCAGACTTAACACTGCAGGAAGCCCTAGCTCCTCTCCTTTCTTGGGATCTTTGGGACCTGCTTGCCCTGAACTTGTCCCCTCGGTTACTGTTCCCTCTCTGTGGTTCTTACAGGTACTGGATGGAAGGAAGCCCACTGGGGGGAAGCTGGAGGTGAAGGTTAGGCTGCGGGAACCTCTGAGTGGCCAGGATGTGCAGATGGTCACGGAGAACTGGTTGGTCTTGGAGCCGAGGGGCTAGTGAGGTAGGCAGTTCTCTGGACCCCCAGTACCTCTGTTGTCTGCTTTCTCCCAAGGCCCCACAGAAACCTTTCTCATACTTAGTTTATATGTGGGGAGAAAGGGAAGACCAAAAGGCAGAACTATTGGGTACAATTTATTTGCCTCAGTAGACCTGGGGACAGAAGGTAACCTAAGGTTTAACTGTCTTCAGGAAGTCTCTTATAAAATGTTTGCTTTCACGGTGGTTTAGACTGACTTGCTATGTTTTGTGCCCTGTGCAGCAGGTGGTCAGCACTGGGAGAGAATCAGCCAGTGGCAGTGTGCACCAGCTGGGCTTCTCAGCTTTGCTGGCTGCAAAAGCCTTTGTATGTAAGAGAGATGCTGCTACGCAAGCACCAAAGATCTGTTGAGCTACGGACCCTACTAACCAAGTAGGCTAGCAAGCCCTCTTGCTAGCCCTTTTTGAGCCTCCATGGAAGCAGTCTGGATCCCAGGAGCTCTTCCCCTTACCCTTGTGGGTAAAGGCAAGGATATTCTCATTGTTCTGTGCCATGGAGTCTTCTAGACCCTTAACCTCTGCCTAGCAACTGTGTGCAGCTTATTTCAGCTCCCAGTTGTGCCATTTCTGGATGTGCCTTTAAAAGATGTAACTGAGGGATGGGAGACTCAAGAGTGATTGGACACCTCACTGGCTAGGGTAGGTAGGGTTTCACGACTCTAGCTGGTCAATGGCAGCCTATCCACTCAGCTGAGTTTACCCCAGCTCTGCCTGTGCCTGTGCCTTTGTTCCTGACAGCTGCTGCACTAGCCTTCCTGTTTCCCAAGGAACTCAGTGGAAGAGGAAGTTACTTTTGGTACTACTTGGTGGATAGGAAGGGTAAGGTATCTTGGGTTTGGTTTGTGTACCTAAGATGAAGACTATTAACAGGGGAGAAAAAACATTCATATATACATATGTATATGTAAAATTTTATGTAGCCATTTTTATTTAAGGAACTAGGTCTAATTCATTGTTAGGGGTTTTACACTCTACACACAGTGTAAACTATCAAAGTCTTAAAGCCCTCCTCCTGTCACTGTTTAAAAGCCAGGGTCACAGTAATATTTATCAACTGCTGCTGCAGCTTCCTCTTTTGAGAGAGGGCAGGGGAAGCCTTTCCTTTCAACTGATCACCTGGGAAATCCCTAAGTTCTTTCCAAGAAATTCTCGTGTGGCTTTGTTTGCTGAATGGATGGAAACCATGAAGGGATTTGTAGTTGTAACAGATTTAATATTAAAAACTGCAGTGTTCTACATTTCTTAGGAATAAATACCCCATCTTTTTTCCTCTTTTTTGAAGCAGTAAGTTCAACAAAGCACTCCTCAAGATTAGTTTTTAAAGGCTGTAAATGAAGCAAATACATTTAGCTTACTGATCACTAAAGCATTGCGTAAACACAGCTCAGGGATTGAGTTTTTGTGTGTCTTGTCAGGAGTACAGGGTTGGACCAGGCATCTCTGCCCTTAACAGGAGAACTTTTAGTGGGTAACACAGCAGGGATTACAGACAATTGGTTTTTCCAAGAGCTCTCAGGCCAGTCTTACCTGTCAGATGTGAGGTATCAGCACTTCACAGATAAGGGATTTAACCATTAATTGTAATCATAAATGTGTCAAAGATTGGAAAGGGGGGGGTCACTTGCCTTCATGAAATGGCCTAGAGCAAAAAGGGCTGGCTTGAGTAGTTCCTGGCTCTGTCTAGTTTTCCCCTTTTGGGTTTCATACAAAGAAGGTGAAGGACCATAGGGGTTATTCTCAAAGGTTTCAGTAAGCCCCAGGAATATCTTAAATTCAGGCCTCTGTTGGAAATGAATTTTACTAAGACTTTTTTTATGGCTTCAATAATTTTCCTGTGCAGCCTGCTCAATTTCAGTCTGCTTCACTGCTCTTTGCTTTTGGGAAAACAACCTCAAGACTGAAGGAGGCTACACAAAGCCACCCACTGGAGGGGAGACAGCTTCTTGAAAGGCCTTTGTTGCAGCCAAGGCACACACTAGTAGAGGGAGGGGGCCTGTAGAGCCTCATCTTGTCCTAAGATTTGTCCAAATTAAGTAACCAAACATTGGAGAGTAGTTTCTTAATGGGCAGTTGGGAACCAGACACAACCAAAATCAAATTTTACCTTCTCTGATCTAGTGCAGTGCATGCTTTCTTCTGAATTAGTGAACTGAATAAAATATGAAAGCGATGTGTCTTATAGTCAGGAAGCTTTGTTCACAGAGGGCAAATTCTTTTAATATTCTTTTTGCTTTCTTAAAGCACCATTCTAAAACTTACATGGCTGCTTTCAAATTCTGAAGACTTGTTCTCCACATACTTGTGACATCTAAAAGATCTTGCCCCTTAAGGTCAGCTGGTTTTTGAAAGGAGCCATAGTGCTGAAAGGTGGATTCAGGGAGCTCACACCTGGTGCAGCTCCATCACAGGTGGATTCTTCTCTGGGCATCAGTATTCCTGTTCCATTCCCTAGTCCTATATGTACAATCCCTAAAAATCCCATTATCATCCTTTATTTTAGCATTAGTAAAATAGAAGCCTCTCACAAACTTGTTAATTCCAGAAACAATGTTGAGTACACTGCTTGTCTTAAATGCATTAAATGCATAAATTAATTCTCAGATGTCCATAGAGAAATTTAATTGGAAATTTTGGACCCACCAGCAGGAACCAGTGTGGGTGAGACAAGACAGGAGATGGGAGCTTACACAGGCAGAATCTCATATCTCTACCACCCTAGAGTGTGCAGGAGGTGTTCCAAAAAATGTTAGTGAAGCACAGAGAAACTACATTGCCTGGCATTTTGCAAGGTGCAATTTTTAAAAATTTCAAAGTTTACCAGAATGGCAATTCTGTCCATCTTCAGTTTCAGAGGAGCTCTGTATCGTTTAAGTTCACAATCTAGAAAATTTTGCCTAATCTAAGAGTGTGATGCTTCAGCCTTTCACTTTCAATTATAAAACCAAGGATAAGTGGAAAAATAAACTATAGACTTGATTGTTTAGGCGCAATTTCACAGGATTTTTTTTTTTTAATATAGAAAAGACATTTTATGCAGTTAAGAATGGAACTGACTAGACAGGGCTTATTGTTTGTTAGTTTAAGGATTCTTACACTGATCCAGAAGAAATACAATAGAAAGATGTATTTAGCTGAGCAGGAAGAAAGATAAAACTAGGAAAACAGGACAAGCCTCTGTAGAAGCCCCAGACTTCCAAGGTATGTTTATACCAAGCTTGATATTGACACCAAATATACCAATCCCTGTTAACAAAGTTTGGGGGTAGTGTTCTCAGGGCTTCATCCTTACAAGCTAGTGCTGTGTAGGTTGAGGAGCACCTGAGAGGCTTCATATTTCCTGTCTATGGAAAAACTTGCAATCTCAGCTTCTCTGTAGCTCCATCAGCAAGGCCTTTGTAGAGGAATATAACCCCTACCCCAAGGAGAAAGGGATGAATCAAGCCAGGCCAGGCTGTGGGCCTCTGGAAAACAGCTATTGCCCCAAACAGCTTGACAGCCTGTTATTGCCAAGCACTGGGCCCAGCTCTGGCCTCTGGGATATAGCCTCTCAATATCCAGAGGCCTGCACTGGAACCCAGGTCATTCTGGGAGCCCTGCTTTTGTTGCAGAGGGACTAAATCCTTTGTGGTGTGGGTTCTCAGAGATGTTAATGACAAATGGAGTTTCCCTAGAGCAGCGTTTGTTGAACTGGCTTGTGAAATCCATTTGGTCTATAATAAAAAAAAATTTTTTTTAGCAGTACAGCAATTTGAACTCAGGGCCAAGCACTTGTTAGGCAGGTGTTCAACCACTTGAGCCATGTCTCCAACCCCTTTTGCTTTGATTATTTTTGAGAGTCTCATGTTTATGTCCAAGCTGACCTGGACCACAGTCCTAATTACCCAGTGTAGCTGGATGACAGGCACCTGCCACCACACCCAGCTTTCTATTGGTTAAGATAGGGTCTTGCAGATTTCTTGCCTGGGCTGGCATCTTCCTGATCTCTGTCTCCTGAGTAGCTTGGATTGCAGGCATGAGCCACTGTACCTGGCCTCAAAATAAATTTTTAACATAAGAGAAATTACAGTATCACATATATGCTGGGTAAATGAGACCTTGGTTTCCATAAAACCACTCCCACTAAGAGAAACTAGGGCTTGGAGAAATGGTTGATTCCCAGCCTGGAGCATCTAGGCTAGAAAAAGGAAGTTTTTAGTAATAGGAGTATATCACGAGAATACTAGCTAGCCTGAACGTGCTCCACTTGGCCAAAACAGACTGTTTGAGCACCTAAACAATGAATCAGAACCACTGAAAAACCAACCCATGAGACCAGAATGAAAATAAGTAGATAAATATAGAAGAGGGAAGGGCATCATATAGATTACCAAGTCCAGCTGATAAAGTGCTGGAACTGGAAAGTAATTTTCCTGTTGTCACAGTGAAAGATCGGGTAAGGAGCCATCAGCAGATGCTAGATCTAAGAGGACGTTTTGATGCCGATGAGCAAGATACTTGGGTGGTTTGAAAGTATCCCTGAATATATTGTTAGTCCCAAAGGGGAAAATATATAGTGGAGAAATTGGACTACATATTGACCAGGGGATCAGATTTACCACCATCAGTAAGAGGAAGATGGCTATTAAGTGATGCTGGCCAAGAATGCATAAATAGATTCTAATTGTGAGGAAATAATGAGGGTATTTTCTGTTTGAAAAAAGAGGAGGATATAGGACTCCAGATTTTATATTCACAAAAGTACCACTGACAAAAATATTAAGGCAAGTCATGACAGCTACATGCTATGTCTGATTCCAGGCTGGAAGGTTTACTTGGGGAGGGGAGGGGGGAGAAAAAGGCTCCCAAAGGCAGGCACTCTGTTAAAGGAGTGTATCAATGTGACCTGACTACAGTTGTGTAAGAAAATGTCCATATTAATAGGAAGTTAACAGTTGGGTAAAGGGCTATGGTATATGCAACTTAATGCTGAAATGTTTCAGTTTTATGGTGTGAGGAGGAAGAGAAACACTGATAAATCAAATGGGTAAAATGTTAATATGTGAATAATAAATGAATCTGGGGAAAGCGTACAGAGTGGTTTTTATACTTGAAACTTTCCTGGAAATTTAAATGACTTCTCAATAAAATGTTTTAGTTTTAGTATATAGCAAACAAAAATGGTGTGTTTTGTTAGCTTTCACAGAAAGACTCAGTTTAATATCTGCCAATTACTTGGGCGGATCTTGAGTGATCCTGCACTCAGCTCTGCTATCAAAATGACTTCATTTACACTGAGTTGCTCTTCCATGGTTGCAAGAGTAGATAATCCTTTGGTCTTTGATTCACTTCAATCTGGTAAAACAAAACTCTAAGCATAATTTCTACTTGACAAACAGCTGTGATGTAACTGGGATAAGAACAGTAGAATTCTCCTTTTCATACCAATTCTGTACAAAGAGTTCAAAACTGATGCTTCGTTGTTTATTTCCCCTCTGCCCTCCCACCCCAACCTTGGTGATGGCTGTACCCAACTGAGCATTTTTGAGCACATGACCATAAGTAATCTTAAAAGAAAGGAGCAGAGTTCTTGTCTAAGACAGTAACAGAAGGGGATTAGCTGCAAGGTAGCATAACTGTTGTGCAGGAACAGAAGCTGCCCAGGTCTTCTTGGTGTATAATGCATAGAAGACTTAGAATTGTGAACATCCGTCCTCCCAACCACCCTTTCCCACCCCTGTTCCCTAGACCCCTAGTCCCTCCCTCTTCCACCCCCCCCCACTAATAGTGTTAACAAAAGCTTAATCTTCCAGTTTTAAAGTGCAAATGATTTGAGTGTGACTGCTGTTGCAACAGATCTGAACAGAAAACAATGGAAGTCCTCTCCATTTAGGCGATGTTTTCCAGAATATAAAAGATGAGCTCCATGACGATGGGGCCCTCACTGAGCTGGCAGGCCCCTCCATGGATCACTGGCACCAAGGCGCTGTCCAGATCGTTCATGTACTGCGAGGGAAGGGGCTGGCCATTGCTCCCTGCTTGATAGCCAACCTACACCACAGAGAGAAGGGGATGACAGGTTACTGGACAGAGCCTCTCCTAAGGACTGAGATCCAAGAAGGTCGAGCAGGAAAGGCAATGTTTTTTGCAGCCGTGGATTAGACACATGATATTGAACATAAATTCCACCTCTGTATTGTCATTTATCATCCTGTCTTTAAATCCTGGCAACTTGATAGCTGTAAGACCTTGGGCTAGTTTTTTAACCTGCTGAGGTCTTTGTTTTCTGGAAAGGGAGAGGAGCATGTATGGAGAGTCAGAAATACTACTTTAACCTCTGATTGTGAAAATTAAAATGAGAAATACAGCAAAGCATGTATTCTCCAATTCATCCACACACCATTTACACAAAATGGTATGCGTGTGTGTGTGGTATTGGGGTTTGAACTCAGGGCCTCACACTTGCTAGGCAGGCCATTCTTCCAGCCCCACACACCATTTTCTGAGCACTTACAGAAACTCAGATGGCAGGGCCCCTTCCTTCAAGAGGCTCACAAATTTAGAACAATCTTACACTCTCATTGTTTTATGTGAGGGAGTTCTCTCTCCAGCTACATCATCAGTACAATTCAGAATGGAACCATGGTATTGCACTAGTATTGCCCTGATATGCTTTAAGCAGCATAAGGCAAGACCTTAAGTAGGAAATCAATACTTGCTGATTGGTGGCTAGTGTGGAAATGGAGCCAGACACGGAACCTTTCATCCTGCCCTGATAATGGCACAATTCTACACTGAAGAACCAGTTTCTCCCCATAAGCACTTAGGCCACGAGTAGCTTGCTGGACAGAATTCTTGGACTGGATCATGCAGAGAGCAAACACTCATTTCTAGTAACTCAGAACTAAAGGGTTGAGGGAGAAGAGACCTATAGTAAATTTTAAGCATCAAAGCAGGACCAGTGGGACCTGTCACAGATACTCAAAATCCAAAAGGAATGTTAAGGTGCTTGCCCCCATAAGAGAGACACTGGGACAAAGAACTGGGGCTTGGAGGTTGAAGACTAGATCATTGCTACAAAGAGCATATCAAAAACATTAGGTGAGACAGGGAGGGAAGCCTGGCAGTAGGAGACCTGAACTGATAGGAAATTACTGGGGAAAAGCTCAAGTCTACTAACTAGTATGAAAATACTGGTGGCAAGAAAAACTTCATAGGCATGGGTACTGCAGAGGCCAGTCAGCTGAAACTTGCTCTGTTGGATTAAAAAAACAAGACTGGGGACAGTGTGAAACTGGGGAGTCTTTGGTGGTACTAGGGTTTCAACTCAGGGCCTTATGCTTGCTGGGCAGGCACATGAGCCACGCCTCCAGCCCTTCAGGATTGGGGAGTCTTTTTTTGGTGTGTGTGCATCGTTCCTGGAAGTACTGCAATACCAGGTCGATGGGCAGAGTGGACGGAGCAAGCTCCTATTCCATCTCCTGCTTCCAAAAATCCATTTAATATATTGTCCTCGGATAGAGAACTTATCAGATATTAAACTGATAAGAACAGATACTACACTTGATCTTAGCCAAAAAGCCCAGAAACGATTGGGGGGTCTTAAAAGGTACACAGATGCCAGTCACAGGGGTGGCAAGTCCTCACACTTCTCTCGTTACCACAGGTAAGATGGAAGGCAACTTCTTGAAAGGCATGAAGATGAAGAGGCCCAAGAAACACATCTGGGCAGATTACTACTAGAGAGGAGACCAGAATACTACATCTGTTCAGGACAGAAGGTCTGGAGAATTAAACTCTAGGTTAATTAAGGAAAATTCAGAATAGAAAATACAGACACTACCAAGGCCATCTTCAAAAGCTGGCTGAGTAGACCCTTCTTACCTGATCTGAGTCAAGTGTCACACGTAGTCCCAGTTTTGTCATTCCATCTTCCTTAAGAAGCTTCAGGTGGGGACAGAGAGCAAGACAAAAAGCCTTGGCAACATGCTCAGTCAGTCTGCTATGATCTGCAGGATCACTCAGACAATTATGCTGGTCATCATTTTCTAGGAAAAATACCTGTTCCCCAAACAAAAGAAAGCTTTATCCTTGTGCCTAGACATTGGAAGAAACAAATAGAAACAAGTGGGCACAAATTAGCCTGCTCTGTATGTGCACCCTGGTTGTCCAAGATGATAGAACAGGATAAAATTAAGTCCTTGGGCCAGGAATAGTAGGGCACCAAAGAAACAATCTTTGCTACCATGGTGGTGTACAACTGTAATCCCAGCACTTGAGAGACTGAAGCAGGAGGATGGAGCGTTTGAGTCCAGCCTGGGCTACGTAGACCCTATCTCAAAAAAAACAAAACAAAGAAAAACGCTGGTCATGATGACTTACACCTATAATCCCAGCTACTTGTGAGGCAGAGATTGAGAGGCTACTGATCTGAATCCAGGCAAAAAGTTAGCAAGATCCCATCTGAAAACAAAAAGCTGGGCATGGTGGTTCACATTAGTAATCCCAGTTACTTGGGAGGTGTAAATAGGAGGCACTGCAGTCCAGACCTGTCCAGGCAAAAACCATAAAATCCTATGTGAAAAACAACTAAAGCAAAAAGGGCTGGCAGTATAGCTCAAGTAGTAAAGTGCTTTCCTAGCAATGTGCGCTCTGAGTTCAAACCCCAGTATCATAAACAAAACAAGAACAAAAAACCCCAATCTTTGTTTCCCAGTCTCTGCATTCATATGTGGGTAGTAGCAGCTGTCTATCTCCCTGCAAGCCTCTGCCAGGGTCTAATGGCACTCTCTTCTCAGTATAAGGAAAGGCCTCCATTTTGCACTGTGCACTTCTAAAAGGTAATACATGTGTATGGGAAATTTTTTAGGAAATAATCTGAGATCTAAAGAATAGCCATTATTAATTGGGTGACCTGGCCTCTTGATTTTACAGATTACTCATAGAAGGGAAGGGACTCGCTCAAGCGCACAGAAGTACTTAGAGACAGAGGCCAGAATCCAAGTCTTTTTGTTTCTTATCTCTTTGCCATTATGTAGCTTAGAGCTGTGTCAGTGTGTTCTCACAGAGCCAAGCAAGCACTGTGCTGTGCATAAGCAGAGGCATAACAAACTTGGAACTCAGAAAACCAAGTCCTATTCACGTAATAGAAGGGTCATGAGCAAGTCCTATAAGCAAAGGAACAATGGATGTCAAAAGACCTATTTTTAAATTTTTTTCAAGATGGGGGTCTCACTGTGGTATCTAGGCTGATCTCTTATGGACTGAAGCAACCTTCATGTCTCAGCCTCCTGAGCAGCTGGGACTATGGGGATGTACCACTATGCCTAGCTTTCAAAGGACTTAAAAATTATTGGCATAATAGGCTTCATGGTGGCATTGTCACACATGCATACGAAGTACTTTGATCATATTCACTTTTCCAATTACCTTTTCTTTCTCTCTCTTTTTTTTTTTTTGGTGGTACTGAGGCTTGAACTCAGGGTCTTGCACTTGTTAGGCAGGTACTCTGCTACTTGAGTCATGCCCTCAGCCCTTTTTGCTTTTAGTTACTTTTAAGATAGGGTCTTGTATTTATGGTAGGACTGGCCTGGACTGTGATTCTATTTTACCCTTGCTATGTAGCTGGGATGACAGGCAAGTAAAACCATGCTTTTTTTAGTTGAGATGGGAGTCTCACAAACTTTCTGCACAGGTTAACCTCAAAGTGCCATCCTTTCGATCTCTGTCTCTGGAGTAGTTAGGATTGTGGGTATGAGTCATCACACTTGGCTCATCACTCTCTCTTGTCCCCCCTTACCCCTCCCTTCCCTTTCTCTTCCCTGTTAGCCCCCTTCTACTTTCATGCCTCTCTTTTCTAAAGTTAGGTTTTGTGTATGAGTGAAAATGTGATATTCATCTTTCTAAGGATCGCTTATTTCACTTAAGATGATTATATCACCACTTCCATTCATTTTCCTCAAAATGATATAATCTGTTCTTTATGGCTGAACTCCACTGTGTATATATACCATGTTTTCTTTACCTATTCATCCACTGATGGCACCTAGGTTGATTCCATAGCTTAGCTATTGTTGATAGTGTGGAATTACACATGAGTGAGCAGCTATCGCCGTTACATGCTGATTTTGCAATTCAAAGGACTTAATGCCTATTTTGCCTCTGTAAAACTGGAAAAGCATCTTTCCTCTATGGATTTTGTAAAGTGTAAACATAATAAATGCAAAATATAAAAGAAATGCAAATATACAATGTTTATATATACCAGTCCCCAGCATGCTGCTTACCAAGGGGTTTATACGAAGGATATTTCCAAGGGGGCAAGCCTGTGGCCCTGTGCGTAGATGCTTTCGTGAGGGTGGCAGCATGAAATAATGGAAAGAGCTCTGCAGTGGGAGTCAGGTCAGGAGACCTGCACTCTGGCCCCTACTTTGTCAATGACCAGCACTAGTCGCAAAGTTATAAAGTGTTTTCTTATTTGCATGATGGGATGGGCAGCCTGCCTTACCTCACCAGGTCACTGGGGAATAAATAAAAGACTAGTAATTTATAAACTATAAACTGTTTTACACGTTCAGAACTTTCCCATGCTCAAAATATGCCAAAGGTATGATCATTTTACAAAGCAAGCAACTAAAATCATTCAGATACATGTGAAAATGTGAAGCCTGGCATAAAGGATGAACCACTTGAAATAACAGCTTCAAGACCTGGAAAATCAGGTTTTGGTCTCTGTGCTGTGAACAACCTATGTGAACCTGGGTGAGACTTAAATTCTCTTAGCCTTGGCTTCCTTATGTGTAAAATGGAAAAGCCAGAAGTCACCGAATTTAAAATAAAATTAAGACTTAAAGCTGAAAGGAATCTCAGAGATCTTAAAATTCAATCCTTTATTTTACTTGCAGTGCTGGTTTTCAAACCCAGGGCCTTATGAACACCAGGAAAGCACTCTACAGTTGAGTTCCATCACCACCTCTCAATCCTTTCTTTTATAGATGAGTATAAAGGAGATGCAAATCAATTAAGAGACCTAGAATTTACCTAAACATTCTGATCCGCATAATATATGCACACAAACAGGGTCCTAGTCCTGCTCCTCTCGTTCCCAAATGAGCCTCTTAGATAGCCTTCATGTTAAGGAGCAACTTAATTTAGTGAAAAAGAGCTTTAGAGATCTGGCTTTGAATCAGGAATTTGCCATTACCTATTTGCTTTGTAATCTTCAATAAGTTACTTAATTTCTGAGCTTGAGCTTTCATAATGTTTATTTTTAAAGACCACGTTATCTCAGATGGATTTAACTGTCAGTGCAGCACGACTGACCCAGCTCTCTGAGGAACACACCAAAGATGGTGTGTGTCCCTCAGAGATGCACTCCTCTTGAATTTCTAAGCAAATAAACCTCCAAGAGCTCATGGGAAGGAGGATACATCAAAGTGCTGCAGGCTGTACTTGATGAGATTTCTTCTCAGTGATCTAAGACAAACCAGGCAGAATTAGAGTAGAGTAGGTAAATGAAAGGATTTTTTTTCTTACCTTTTGGAATTAGCTCAGAAATATGACTATGAGCCTTACAAAAAGTGCTCAAAACAGGTCAAGGATGTCAAGTTTCATTTCCTTACCTCGGTCCATCTGATGACTTTTCCATTTGCTTTATACTCTGATCCATGGAAAATCTTCACATTTGTTATAGATTCCATGGACTTCCCATCTATAGGACTTATGACACTAAAACAAGAGGTGAGTAAAGCAGAGAGAGTCTACTAAGTCTTGATGTTAATTATGTAGGATGTTTTGCTGAACACCTGTGAAGCACATCGTGCCAAGAAGCCACTGCACAAAGCTGCACATGCACAGGGCTCTTATGAAAGTGCTGTCCACTGAGACCATTCAAATACACATACAAAAAGGAGATGCTTTCTAGGAGCTAGTTCTCTTTAATGAACAGAAATCATTGAATCTAACCCGTTCTTTTGGAGAATGCTCACCAATCACTCAACCCTGTCCTCCACTCTGCTTCAAACAGTGTAATAACATTCAACATGCAACTCTGCATATGTTTACATATTTGCCTTACAATTGAACTTTCTGAAGGGGAGTGAGTATGATATAGTCATCTCTGTGGTCTGTATGAACCACTGATTGGTACTTAGGTGTTTAATGATTGTTTCCCAGTACCACCAATTTTTTTTTAATTTAAAAAGGCACCCTTATTGATTAGAATGCTTTATAGCAAAAGACCCAGATAAGCTTGGACAAGCTGGAAAACAGTTTATATAGTACAAGAGGGCTTCCTGACTAGCTTTTGTCCTATTTTCTTCTTCTTTTTTTTTAAACAAAGTCTTACCTTTTTACTCATTGGTCAAAGGTACCTGATATTGTGGCATTAAGGGAAAGAATCTAACCTATGTTTTTTTTTTTTTCCCTGAGAAAAGGTCTTGCTTTATAGCACCTCAAACTTGTGACCCTCCTGCCTCAGCATCCCAAGTGTTGGGATTATAGGCATGTGTTACCATGCCTGTCTATTCTGTTTTCTGTGAAGCTCTGGTAGGAGTAGCAACCTGCTATTGTCAGTTACTGATACCTTATAGAACCAGATTTTCAAATTAACCTTTTATTAGTCCTATTAACTATATCCACTTAGAACTATATGAGAGAATTAAACACAAACTGATTTTGAAATTAAATTTTTCCAGTGAAGACTGGGAAGTTAAAGGATTACCTGTAAAGTGGGCAAATACATTCAATGACTGGAAATTGCTTCTTTTAGCTGGGGATGTATCTCAGTGATAAAGTGTGTGTTTCACATAACAAGGTCCTGTATTCATTCAATCCCCAACACCCCCTCCCACATACACAAACAAAGAAAACAGTAAAAAGAAATTGTAAGCTCCTTGCTGGCTAGCACCGGCTATTAGTACACAAAGAAGGGGAGATCTTAAAGTGAAAACAGCTCTGAAATAGACAAGTGACCCTTGACTGGTCCCACCCTCACCTCATACACAGCACCAACCTGTATAGTAGGAACTACAAGAGACTCCAGTTAGTTTTTTTCTAAGTGGTGCTTGGGATTGGGCTTGGTATCTCTGAGCATCTGGGCAAATGTTTGCTACTGAGCTACTCTATTCCAAACCTGCCACTCCTCAGTCCTGCCTAAACACTGAAACTACTCGAACTGAAAGACTGCAGGTAATTAAGACTTCCAACCAATGACTTGGCCTTAGCTGCACAAATCCCAATGCAGAAACAAGAAATATGATAAAATAAGGCAACATGGCTCCTCCAAAAGTGAACTCCATAATAATAGACTCTTAAGAAAGTGAAGTGGATGAAATCTCAATGCATTTGAAATAATAATTATAAGAATGATCAACAAAATTAGGACATGAACAAATGCTAGAGTGAATTCTAAGAGAATATAATAAAAAAACTGAATGAAATAAGGAAGACAATGCAGGATATGAAAGAGGAATTCAATAAAGATACAGAAATAGTGAGAAAAATAAAATTGAAATTCTGGAAATGAAAAAAGACCCATAAAAATGCAGGACAAGTAGAAGATAGTACCAGGGCTTGAAGGTAGATAAATCAGAACATTCAGACAATGATGAGGAAAAAAACAAAAGTTATGAATGGAACATACAAGACCTCTGGATGCCATTAAAAGACCAAACCTAAAAATGGGCATAGAAGAAGAGGTGTCTGTTAAAGACACAGAAAAACATTAAATAATAATAGCAGAAAATTTCCCAAATTTTGGGAACTAGATGATCATCCAGATATAGGAGGATTTTAGAACACCAAACAGACAAGACCAGAAAAGAACCTCTCCACAGGGTCTGGAGGCATGAATGAAGCAGTAGAGTGTCTACCAGGAAAGTGTGAGGTCCTGAGTTCAAACCACCAAAAAAAAAAAAAAAAAAAAAGAACCTCTCCACATGAAACATTAGGTATATGGAACAAGGAAAGAATACTGAAAGCTGCAAGGGAGAAACACCAAATTACCTATAAAGTTAAACTCATTAGAGTAAGATTTCTCAAACAAGGAGAACATGAAATGATATATTTCATACCCTGAGCGAAAATAACTGTTAACCAAGATCACTATCCCCAGCAAAGTTATCTTTCATAATTGGAGACATAAATACCTTCCATGCTAAATAAAAATTAAAGCAATTCACAACCTAAATCAATACTACAAAGGATACTTAAAAGGATGCTATACACAGGAAGAAAAATGCAATGATGAAAATACAGGAAAGAATAAATCTTACAAGATGAGCAGATTAGTAAATGAGGAATAGAAAGCATCAAACATTATTTTAAAAAAACCAGAGGATTCCAAGATGGTGGCTAGAGGGAGGAAGAAGAAAGCGAGCCTCCTATAGTGAAATCTTGGAGAGATGCTGGAGACACACTTTGCAGGCATAATCACTGAGAAAAGGCGTAACTTTGACCCCTCCACACCTCCAGCCGGCGCGGAGAGTCTCCACTTCACGTTAAACAGAGAAACAAGGAGGGCCCCCGGGCCGCCAATTGCCGGCGCCCAGACGGCTTGGGAAGACGCAGACCAGGTGAGCTTCACGGTACCGCGGTACTCCCACAGACAAGCCTGAGCCAGAGCAGCATAGCTCCCTGGACAGACTGACCTCCACCCGGGGAAAAAAGAGAAACTGAGTAATAAGCAATAACAGCAATAAAGACATGCTGGAAAGAGGGTGGGGCACCCTGAGCGCTAAAGATTGGGGGAAGGGAACCCTTCCCAGGACTGTAAATAAACAAGCCGGGTGGGCGGGAGAGGCTCTGGCAGGAGTGGGGGCAGGGCGCGCGCCCAGCAACTAGGAGTGGGGAGGCTTGTGAGAGTGGCGGAGGGAGAAAAACTCCATAGGAGAGGAGGGAAGACCCACTTCCCACGTGAACTGTAAACATGGTGGCTGGCAGGAGCTGCAGCACTGCCCAGTAAGCAGGAGCAGGAAAGCTTGTGAAAGTGGCAGTGGGAGGAAAACTTCACAGGAGAGGGGGGAAGACCCACCTCCCACATGAACTGTAAATAAACACACAGGCCTGACAACGCGGGTGTAGTGTCACCTTTCCCAGTGCTTGGAAAGGGGAAAGCCTGTAGCAGAGGCTCCTGCACAGGAGAAATCTGAGCAAACAAAGACTGCAGGGCCAGGTGAGTGCTAAGCTCCCCCAGAATCTGCATAAACAATGCCTCCAGCAACAGCAGGCTGACAGCAGCGGGCAGGCAAGTCACAGATGCAGATACCATTCTTAGAACTGTCTCCAGACTCTTTTTTTTCTTTTTCTCCTTACCTTTGATGAGAGAACAACCGAATTACACTGCAAGCTGAAAAACTTACTGAAACTGTATTGCATTTGAACTTGGGACACTAGATGGGGTTTTGTGTGTGTGTGTGTGTGTGTGTGTGTGTGTGTGTGTGTGTTTTTTCTACTTTATGCATCCCCTTTGAAGAGACAACTACAGAACAACATCTGAGGCACCATCTCCAGGATTGGAGCCTGAGATGGACACGCAAATTATTAAGACGGAAACATCATAGCATTTGAACTTGGAGGGCTTTTTGTTTTTGTTTTTTTTTAATTTTCTATTTTCCATTTTAATTCATTTGTAATATATAGGTATTTCTTTCATTTACTTATTTTTTATTTTTATTCACATCTTAAATTTTTTTTTATTTTTGATTTTCAATCCCTCTCTGTCTCTCTAATGTCTGTTCAGCTTACTGTCAATTAGTACACTAATCCCTGTTTATACCTTTGAAACTTCTTGTCTGAACCTTGTTCTGCTTTCTCCTCTTGTCTGTATTTGTTTTCCCCTTTTAACTTCTTGCTTTCCATCTCAGCTCACCCTTGCATTCTAAATATTACCATTGTTATTATTACAAGCTAGAAAATACTTAATTGCACACAGTACAGGGACAGTAACAACACCAAGGACAATGACGGGAAGACAGAAAAAACAGGGAAACCAGTTTCCCCACAGCAAAAAATTAGTACAGGAACCAGAGGGGAATGAAGAAAACAGAAACTCAGATCCAGACTCCAACAAAATGAAGATAAACTATGCCAAAGGACCCAATGAAGCCCACAAGAATAATTTAAAAGAAGACATACTACAGTACTCAATGAGAATTTTATAGAGATGATACTGGATAGGGTCAACCAAAATGTACAGGAGACACTCAAGAAATTCCAAGACAACAAAAATAGAGAATTTGAAAAAGCAAAAGAAGAAATAAAGGAAACCATAGAAGCACTGTATAAACACCAAAGTGAAAGAGAGAACATGATGAATAAATGGATAAATGAACTCAGGACAAAAATAGACAACATTAAAGAGGAAAACAGCCAGGATATGGAAAACCTCAGAAAAAAGAACGAAACAGAACTGCAAAACAAAATGGAAGGCCAATCCAGCAGAATAGAACAAACAGAAGACAGAATCTCAGAACTTGAAGATGAAATGGTAATTAAAGGAAAAACCGAAGAACTATTAATTAAACAACTCAAGACCTGTGAAAAGAAAATGCAAGAACTCACTGACTCCATCAAAAGACCAAACTTGAGAATCATGGGCATCGAAGAAGGAGAAGAGGTGCAAGCGAAGGGAATGCGTAATATATTCAACAAAATAATAACAGAAAATTTCCCAAATCTAGAGAAAGATATTCCCATACAGATGCAAGAGGCCTCCAGGACACCAAACAGACCAGATCAAAATAGAACTACCCCACGACATATCATCATTAAAACAACAAGTTCAGAAACTAAGGAAAGAATATTGAAGGCTGTAAGAGAGAAAAAACAAGTAACATACAAAGGTAAACCCATCAAAATCACAGCAGACTTCTCAACAGAAACATTAAAAGCAAGAAGAGTGGGGTGAGATCTTCCGGGCACTGAATGAAAATAACTTCAACCCCAGGATACTCTACCCAGCAAAACTATCATTCAAAATAGATGGAGCAATAAAAGTCTTCCATGATAAGCAGAAACTAAAACAATATGTGACCACAAAGCCACCACTACAAAAGATTCTGCAAGGGATTCTGCACACAGAAAGTGAAACCCAACTTAACCATGAAAAGACAGGCAGCACCAAACCACAGGAAAAGAAAAAGCAAGACAGTAGAGAGTAACCTCAACTTAGGTACACACAATCAAACCTTCAAACAACTAAGACAACTAAATGACAGGAATCACCACATACCTATCAGTACTAACTTAATGTTAATGGACTTAATTCACCCATCAAAAGGCACCGACGAAATGGATTAAAAAGGAAGATCCAACAATTTGTTGCTTACAGGAGACCCATCTCACGACAGAAATAAGCATAGGCTTAGGATGAAAGGCTGGAAGAAGATTTACCAAGCCAATGGCCCCGAAAACAGGCAGGAGTAGCAATACTTATCTCTGACAAAGTAGACTTCAAACCTACATTGATCAAACGAGATAAAGAAGGACATTCCATACTAATAAAAGGGGAAATAGACCAAAAGGAAATAATAATCATCAATCTGTATGCACCCAATGTCAACGCACCCAATTTCATCAAACATACCCTGAAAGACCTAAAAGCATATAAACGCCAACACAGTGGTTGTGGGAGACTTTAACACCCATTATCATCAATAGATAGGTCATCCAAACAAAAAATCAATAAAGAAATCCAAGATCTAAAATATGCAATAGATCAAATGGACCTAGTGATGTCTACAGAACATTTCATCCAACCTCTACACAATATACATTCTTCTCAGCAGCCCATGGAACCTTCTCCAAAATAGATCATATCCTAGGGCACAAAGCAAGCCTCAGCAAATATAAGAAAATAGAAATTATACCGTGCATACTATCTGATCACAATGCAGTAAAAGTAGAACTCAACAACAAAAGTAAAGACAAAAAACATGCAAACAGCTGGAAACTAAATAACTCATTACTTAATGAAGAATGGATCATCGATGAAATAAAAGAGGAAATTAAAAAGTTCCTGGAAGTCAATGAAAATGAAAACACAACCTACCGGAACCTATGGGACACAGCTAAGGCAGTCCTGAGAGGAAAGTTTATAGCCATGAGTGCATATATTAAAAAGACTGAAAGATCCCAAATCAATGACCTAATGATACATCTCAAACTCCTAGAAAAACAAGAACAAGCAAATCCCAAAACAAATAGGAGAGAAATAATAAAAATAAGAGCTGAAATCAATGAAATAGAAACCAAAAAAACCATACAAAGAATTAATGAAACAAAAAGTTGGTTCTTTGAAAAAATAAACAAGATCGATAG